CTTCGGTCGGGGCTGTCCTCACAGGCCTGATGCATGAACATCAGGACCTTTTTTTTTTTTTTAACCGAAGTCTTCTTCGCCTGAAGAACGGTCCTCAGATCCGGCTTCGACTTAGAAGACTTCGGTTGAGAGGGTTGCGTCCGTCTCCAGTCTCTACGTGGAGGTGCACGAGACGCAACACTCTCTTTCTGATGCACACGATATGATGAGCTCGACGGCTGGGGCTGCTCACGCCCAGCAGCCCCAGGGGGCTGGACCCGGCGAGGGATAAACTTTTTAAAAACGTCAGCTTGTTTCTTTGACTCCTGAAATCTCTCGACGACCGCTTGGACTGCGTCGCCGAAGAGACCAGAAGGTTCAAGCGGAGCATCTAATAAAAAAGCTCGATCTTTTTCTTTAATTTCAGACAGATTTAACCATAAATGTCTCTCAGTAGCTACCAAGGCTGCCATAGACCGCCCAATTGCTCTGGCGGTCTCCTTAGTAGCCCTGAGAGAAAGATCGGTAGCCCGACGAAGTTCACGAAAATCGTCATGACTGACTCCCTCACTACTATCCAGATCCCCCAACAGGTCAGCTTGATAAGCCTGGAGCACTGCCATAGTATGCAGACATGCTCCAGCTTGACCTGCTGCCGTATAAGCTTTGCCCACTAACACCGAAGTGGCTTTGAGCGGTCTAGTGGGCAAAGCCGAGGCTTTCAGAGACGATGCGGGACCAGGGGAAAGATAACTGGCTAAATTCTCTTCCGCCTGGGGCATCGCCTCATGACCATACTCTTTCAGCCCTCTTATTCTCGAATAAGTGTTAACTTGAGGGCTGAAAAGACGTGATGAGTAAGGTTTATTCCACGATTTAGATATTTCATTGTGCAAATCGGGAAAAAATGGAAGCCCTCGTGGTGGAGATAATGTGGTGGAAGATAAAAAGCGCTCATCTAATTTGCTTTTAGGACGAGCGCCCTTCTTCTCAGATGGCCATTCAATATTTAATTTCTCTACAGCCCGCGACATAACATCCACCAGCTCATCATATGCTGGGGAAATAAATTGTGAATCTCTTTCCCCCATGTGTGTGCTTTCACTCTCCAAACTCATCGCATCAACCTCCTCGGAGGAAGAGCAATAAAGTAATGGAGGGCTCTCTCCCCGGGCGGAAGAAACCGCAGAGCGTGCTTCCGACACCGGGGGGAGAGCGTTGGATCTCTCGGGTAAGGAAGGAGAAAGAGCCCTCGGACCCGTCTCCAACCCCTCCGAAAGTTCCTTTTGCGATCCCCAGGAATGCAATCTCCGCGCTGCCTCAGCAGACGCGGGTCCTGATCCCTGCGGATCGCGAGCCTGCCCACTCTCTTATCAAAGAGTGACAGGCGAGAGCGGAGCATGCGAAGCGGTAACATCTCACAATGCTGGCACTCAGCCCCCTCGAAGGCTGAGACCGCATGCTCCACTCCCAAACAAACGACACAAAGCTCGTGTGTGTCCCCACCCGTTAAATAACGCGGGCAGGGAGAAGCACACTGTTTGTACACTTGTTTAGTTTCCATCCTTTTCCGCAACAGACAACAGTAAATAGACAGAGACAAAATGACACAGATCGCTTGCTGAGACACAGAAGCTAATGCCGCGTTTCACCGGGTGAGCCTTTATCCCTTCCTGGTCATGACGTCACCCGCCCGTGACGCTCATTCTTTCCATTGGACTAGTTGACATTGATGCTCAGACGCATGCACGCTGGGGGCGTTCCCAAAGCGTCAAGTGACGCATCGAGAGTTCCCTCGAAAGGGAACTAATACATTTATGAATTTCTATTGCAACATCAAACTAATTTGAGGCCTTCAGTATTTTGTTTTGTCTCCTGGTTTCTTTTGTTTATCCTCCACTATCTTCTTTTCTGATTTGTCAGTTGGGAGACACTCTGTATCTGCTAATTTTCCTCTTTTTTTGTGCTCTTTTTCCACAGCTCTTCATATCTGTCTGGGTCTTCTGGGTCCTCTCTGCATGTCTGTCATCTTATTGTAGATGAATTTGGTATCATCAAGGGTTGCAAAAATGGCATGTTCATATTTAGTTTACAATAGACTTAATTTTGCAATATACTGATAAGCCATTAAAACCCTAAACACTAAAGCTGCTGCGGTGAAGACGTGTTGCAGAAATGACATTGTTGCTAATATTGCAGATAACTAGCAGCTAGCTAGGTGTGATACATCAGTTTTGACTTTTAGAACATAATATATTCAACAGTAAAACATTTTTTTTTTAATGTAGTTTAAATTTAAATTTACTAAGCTGTATGGTAAGGACACCGAATAAATACTGATCTTTAAGATAAAGATGATCTTTATCTTATTTTTCTAGATCTTGCGAGTGACCTAATGGGAGTGACTAATTTCTGTTTCCATAAAATAGATTTGTTTAGCTTTGAACAAATGTCATACTGAAAGTCTTTTTCAGTGTTGCGTAAAAGACTAGTGTATTGTGGGACAGGTGTATTTAGATGGAAAAAAAATCAAATAAATGATCAGTAAACACAACAAGAACTTTAAGATGGTGTAAAGTATTATTTATATAAAAAATTGTAAAAAGTAAAAGAATTAGCTAATTTTACTCAGCATTGAGACCTTGTGGGACATGAGCAAAAATGGTGTTTAGACCTTGTGGCAAGCAGTGCGGGGCCGAGAGCCGCGAGAACGGCGCAAGCAGTGGCGATTGATAATGAGTGTCATCTGTGTGACGCACCGGTCTTATATCTCTCACGGAGGGGCGGAAGCATAAAAGGAGGAGCGACGACAGTGAAGGACGAGAGAGGACCAGGCTTGGACTATTTACGTTATGTTTTGTTTATGCTTTTACTTTCGCTTTGTGTTTGTTTATTTTGATTTATTACAGTGTGTTAAACGGTAGCCGGTTTTTGCTTTGTGTTTGTTTATTTTGATTTATTAAAGTGTGTTAAATGGTTGCCGGTTCCCGCCTCCTCCTTTCCTGATCCTTTTATTTCAAGGTGTGCAATAAGATTGTTTATATTGATAAAGCATGAGATGACAAATGTTAACACAAATCTAAAATTTCAGTACTGGGACTTAAAAGTGCCCTCAGTCAGTGACACGCACACAGAGACAGAGACAGAGACAGAGACAGAGACAGAGACAGAGACAGAGACTTCCCCATACAGAACAGAAAGAGAAAAAGCTGTTTCTGAAGCAGCTTCCTAAGAATTCTCCACATCTTGCTGGCTTGTTCCAGCCCCACCAGGAGTGTAACTAAAGGAGCCCGTGTAGCCCAATATAGACTCTTCTGGCCGGGGCCACCCTTCAAGTGGTTACCACGGCCCTTCACTCTAGCAATTACACATGGAGTTCTGTCTGGGTGTGGCAGCGGGACAGAAACATAGCTGCCTATTTCCCAAACCTTCAATTCTACAATCTGGGTTTCATAATTCCACAGCCATTTGGGGTGGGAGCCTCCTTTCCGAGGGCTATGGTCCTCCTTATGGGTGGGACCAAAGTAATAATAGTATAGGACAAAAGTGTTTAATCTGGTTTATAAGATTATAGAGGAGATTCAGATTTTTATCATTTGAACTCACATATAGATTGAATTTAAAGTCAAACCGTAGCGTGTGAGTTTTAAGACATTTCTGTGAAGTTGATTGGAACAAAATATAAAACGATGGTACCAAAGATCAGACCACCCCTGCAGACACTGCAAATAAAATGTAAAGGGTATTTGGATGTATAAGAAAGCATAGGATATACATATTTAGCAATTCCATCTTTGTAAAGAATGCATGAATCAAGCCGTGTTTATCCTGAACAAAACTTGCTTCTGCTCTGACAATGCATGTATTGTGTTGTTCTAAAAATTAATAAAAAAATAATTTTTATTTTTTATTATTCAATGTCTGGACTGGAAACATGGCAAAGCATCCATAGCAAAGCATTGTTATTTTGACCAATTGTAATTTTCTTCAAAAATGCTCTATATGACAATATTTTTTATTTGAATATAATATAACAAAAAATAACATCCAACTCAAGCATATAACTATATTACATTTTCCAGTGGTCTTTAAGTTTTTAACACATCGGCCTACATATACATGCAGAATGCAGTTCAGTTCCGACTCCTGCAGTAGTGGCCGCACAAACTTTCTTTTTATTCAGTAATAGATCTCGTGCCTCCACCTAGTGGCAGAAGTGCAGGTTTACTCACATTATGGGTTTGATTTACAATAAACATACAGTCAGATAATAGCCAAAAGATACTCGCAAGCGCTAACATACAGTCTACATAAACCTTTACAGTCCACCTTTGATTAAAAATAAATAAAAGCTCCCAAAATACATTAGGCTACTGCCAATAAACTAGGCTATATTATTATTATAAAGCTAGGCCTAGTATTATAGACTTTGCAGGGTGTGTCATGCGATTTAGGCTAGCCTATACTAAATCAAATAAGAGATCTAAGAATATTTTTAGCAAAAGTGTTGGCTACTTTTCTTACAGGTTGTTGTTTTTTGGCAATGTGTATTTTTATAGCCCATATTCTATATTCTGTATTCTAAATAAGAAGTAAAAGAGAAAAAGTGTAAGCTACATGTTGCCTATGTTTTGGTAAATGTGTTGCTATTATTCATTTTAAATAGCCTATTGTGAATTGGGTAGATGTTTATATTTATTATAAAGGTCTATAGATTTCAAATCCTTTTTTTTTTCCTGTGACATGTAATTATTGTGAAACGTTTTAATATAAATGATAAACGGGAACTATATTAGATTTTAAACGTATGTTTGGGTTAGTATGCTCTTCTGACGCAGTTGTTTGGGTTATTGTGCTCCTATGACGAGTTTTGTTATCAGACGTGAGCGCGCTCGTGACATCACTACCGAGAGTAGGCTAATCCAGCGACATTCCACAGCGGCTGTCTCTCAAGTCAAGCCAACAACACATGTCAAGTTCCTCGTAGCAGCACGGAAGTGTAGGCTACACGAGTTTCTGATGAGTCTTTTGTGCTTACTCTTTGGTTTGTAATGGCGAATTTTTAAAGGTTCCCTTTAACTGACAAGTGTCTGTGATTCCGTATAAAACCAGCAGCACAGCTGTCATGGACTGGAGCCCTGGATCTCTCATGATGGAGCGGAAACTACACCGGAGGCAGGTGAGATGAACTTAAACTGCCTTACCCAACAGCGATGTTAACGGCACTGTTTGGTTAGTTTTTGCCTCTCTTAGAGTTAACTTAGTGGGCTATCTTACAGTTTCATAGTGATTCACTTAAAACATGAAAATAATGCAATTGTTAATTGAGAGCCAACAGAATTCATGAATCACAGGCAGATTTGTGTCTGATTCAAAGATGTAGGCTACTTGCAGAATAAACCAGAAATTAAGGATCAGGAATAATGTCTGACCTAAAACTAAACAGCTAGACCTATTAAATTGAATGTGCCTGCCAAATTACTTTTATATCTATCTACATTGTTCTAACTTTGACAGTGGTTCCTTGATCTTGATAACATTGATTCAATAGAATGTCTTCAAGATTAATTTTTTTGCTCTCTCAAAAGATCGAAAAAGATTACAGAAATGTTATACACACAAATCATTATGAGCCATGGCAGAAGTTACAAGCACAGATACACTGAGGTTTGATAAAAGCTGATGTCTTTGAACAGGTGTTTCTTCAGAGGAACACCAGCAGAGAAAGTTTCAGAGCACATCGCACCCCGATTGAGGTCTTATTATATAGTGTGTTGTGAATGTAAGGGAAGTAATTCAGAAATATGAAACCAAACCAAGAGAAAAGACTTCCTCTAAGCCATGAAAAGGTTGAACGCCAAGATTTAATGGTTTGATTGTCTGTGTGAAACTGAAGTTAAGTTGTCTACTGCAGCTGTCATGGAGAAGCATCAATAGACACAGTATCTGTGATACGACCTGTGTTTGGGGTCATGCCATAAGCAACACAAAACGTTCCCTTATCAATCAAAACATTTGCTACGGTTGCAATACCTCTGCTTCTCTTGGTGTGGGACGTTCTGAGCTATTCAGACTGTTTTAGGGGAAAACAAACATTGATAGTTATCTAGTGTAGAATCAGATACTAAACTACAACTAAAGCAATTAAAAAATGCAGAAACAACATTCCAACCCTCATGACTTGATAACTGAGTCACCATGATGTTATTTCTAGTATTCACAGGCATTTGGAGGGTTTCTTGTTTCAAAATGATTTATAAGATTAGTCAGTAGTATGAACGTAGAACTTGGTGGTAGAAAAGAACTTTCCGAAATGCTTTCACTTGTATTTCAGTTTAGAGGATAATGTGCATGCATCTGTGTCATTATTATACTATTTTGCAATAGAGTAAGAACATAGGGACAGAACTGATTGGAAAGTACGTGGAAGGGGTTGATATTGATCTGTGCTCTTGCCAGAAATAGCCTAAATCCAGAGTTTGTAAACTCATCTTACATATCTCATTCTTTATCTTATTGTACAATATTATATATATATATATATATATATATATTATTGCACTCATGTATGTTAAGAACATACTGACAGTACATTTCCACCTTTTTCCCTTCTTGTAAATGGGGTTATTATTCTGAACTGTTTATATTGTGTTGTTGTTGTAGGGGAGCATTGACCTTTTAGAAACCATCGGAGTTGTAAATGAGAATGGCAATGAGATCCCATCTATGCCACCAGTGGTAAGGCCTACAGCAAATCACAGCTCATAATAGGTTTCAAAGTGAGACCACTAGTGGAAATGCTTCTATTTTGAATTGAATACATTTTTTTCATTACAAATTATATTATCAGTGTAATAGTCTGAGTGAAACAATGAATTGCACATACAACATAATACAGGTTTCAAAGTGAGGATGCTAAATTTAATATAAAATGTTAAAACAACTTACTGTATATTATCAGTGTAATAGAAAGATGGCAGCATGCATTAGGCTGACATAAACAAAACCTGATAATTCGTGTTTTCCAGCATGATTTGAGTATGTTCCAAAGAGCATCTTTTGTGCGTTATAATAAATCAAAATGAAATTTTAAATGGGGTGAGAAATTTCAGATTTTCAACATAGTCTCACTTTTTGACCCCACTGTACATGTTTAAATTATTTATAGCTTATACACACAAAGGAAAGTCACTAGAATGATATGAAAGTTTGCATAGGATGTATTTATGTAACTAAGTGGGAAGGTTCTCATAATAATTTATTAGCACTGCTTTCTTTCTTTTTAATCTCAGCAACCTCCCCTGACCTACGATTTTGTCCTTGTGGCAAAAATATCAGAAGAAGAGGAAAATAACCAATGCAACAGAAAACAGAAAGCTTTTATTGAAACTTTGAAAGCTAAGAAATTAAATGTTCATGTAAGTGAGTTTTTGCATTTTTGAGATCTGGTTTAAGAAGTCTCTTGACATATGAAGGGGAAATTCCTTTTTGCATATGAAAGTGTAACTAAAAATGGCAAGAGTTGCGTAATTGCTGACACAACAATTGAGTGCAAAACTGCAGTTCTATTTTGCCCAATTTCATTTCTCAAATAGTGTGTCTTTTTTCTGTGTCTGTATAATATGTACAAGTCAATGATACAATATGCTGTTAAATTAACAAGACTGATGTGAACCTTATTATTATGACTTTATAATTATTAGTTTTAGTTCAACACTATATAATGGCACTGCATTATTATATTGTTAATGTATTATATTATAATATTATATTATATTGTTGATAATGGTACTAATAATGAAATGTTGTCAAATATATGCTTTACTCGTTTTATTTGGTGTATGTTTCTTTTTGCAGAAATTTAGAGATGACGATAAAGTATTTTATTGCATTAGAGCACCAGAAAGGGTTTTTGAGACATACCGGTATCTCTTAAAAGTGTCTGATGCCTGTAACTGGAGTTGTGAGCAGCAGGGTACTATACCTCAGTCAACCAGGTAACACAGTCTCAAAAAACTCTCTAGCCATTTTTATGACTGTTATTCAAACACATTTGTTTAAAGGCCACAGGATGAAAATTATAGGGTTTTTAATACGTGATTGGCATTACTTTGATCATTGTTCAGTATCGACTAACTAACAGATTCCTATCTTTGCCTAACTTGCTCAGTGATAGTAAATTTTTCCTATGAATAGAGATTAGAATAGAGAATAGAGATGAATAGAGATTTTCTCCAATTAAACGGCTAGCAAACAAAATGCTACTTCTCTTACTCATGGTAATCTGAGTAATCCCTATTCTCTATGGTGCAGTGGAGAAAGGTGACATTGTCACGATTGATGTATTGTGAAAAAAACTGTTGTACACAAATAAAGAAGCCACTTTAACAGAAGGGCTTTGATCTGATTGTGGCTCTGTTTCAGGATTCGTATTGTTGATTTCATTCTGCATCACACATGCATCGATTCTGAGGGTGAGTAACAGTTTCCCTAGATTGCTCATTCATATTACTTTGTATTACATCACTGTATTATTTCAACCTTCATATGATTCATCTAGAACTGTCGATTCCATAATACATTCTCTCGCTCTACCTCTCTTAGGTGTTTCAGAATATCTGCCCGATCTCATGAAAAAAAAAGTTTTCGAGACTCACTTCTGCTTACATGAGGTATGATTTTAATATTTTATTTCCTCTTGCTCACAGCATTTTGTACACATGTAGTACAGAGTCCACACTGCAGAATCATTATGCAAATGTGTTGATAAGGAAGTAAATCCCATGTCTGTACCATACCGTCCAGCCCAAGAGGAGCTGTGTGAGTGAGGGAGTGTTGTCTCTAGAGATGCAAACAGATCTACTTCTGCTTGGCCAAACTTCTCCCTCAGGAGCTTCACCACCTCGGGCTTTCACAGGCCTCGGCCCCTGCCTTGACAGGATGTCTGCCCCCTGATTTAGATACCCCTGAATGTAAACCGCTCTCAGAGAGCGCAGCTTCCCCTGGGCCCACAGGAGGATCTGGTGAGCCAGGTTGAATAAGTGACGTGACCGCAGACCCCCCTGATGGTTTATGTAAGAGACCATCAATGTGTTGTCTGTACGAACAAGCACATGACGGCCTCTTAGGTCTGGGAGGAAGTGATTCAGTGCCTAAAACACAGCCAGCATCTCCAGGCAATTTATGTGCCACGAGAGATGATGGTCCTGCCACAGACCTTGAGCCAAACGACCACTCATGATCGCCCCCCAGCCCATAGCCCCCTGCATAGTCGTCGAATCCCATATTACACACAGAAAAGTGGTCCTCTGAGCTAGAGAAAGCACACTCTTCTTGGCGTTCATCCTCAAACCCAAATTTCTCATGTGGGCGGAAACGACATCTCGATGTCGAACTGCCAGATGCTCTGATTGAGCTACAATCACCCAATCGTCTTTGTAATTTAGTATGTGAATGTCCTAGAGTCGCAGAAGAGCCTGTGCTTCCTGTGTTGTGGAAGGATGGATACGAGTCCTTGAGATCTATCGCGACAAACCAGTCCTCTGACATGATTTCTGACACGTAATTATCTTGAATTTAATCTAGCCTACAGAGCGATTTGGTTGGCGCAGATCTAGAATCAGACACAACCCCCCATCCTTTTTAGGACCAATAAAGAACTGGCTGTAGAACCCGGACTCCCACCATGGCCAGCAGGGACTTCCTCCCCTATGACTAGAGCCTGCTGTGGCACTTTTTTTTTAGGGCGGACGTTCGGATAAGCATTCGCTGGGAACCCCTGCGCCCTGAGACACACAAGATGGCGGGGTTGGCAGAACGGCCCCCTGAGGGCACTGATGGCATCAGGAATTCTTCTTCGGCGAAACCCTCTTAGGCCTGACCTGCTGGCGAATACGCTTTACCCGCCAATGTAGCTCTCAGTGGTTTGGTGGGTAATGTCAGGGCTTTGAGGGATGATGCTTATTTAGGGGAGAGATGGCTCGCAAGCGTCTCAGCCCTGGGCATTGCCCCATAACTGTGTTTTTTAAGCCCATGGATGTTTAAATATGTTGATTTTTGTGGACTAAATACATGGTATGAAACTGGTCTCTTCCTCTTCCTCAGTGTGGACAGTTCAGTGTCTACTGTCTCAATACTGATAACATCCAGCTCCTCGGAAATGGAAAGTTGCAGTATCGGTGCTTCACTTGTGGTGGAAGTAACCGCAGAGCGTGCTTCCAAACCCTGAGATGAAACACTGGACCTAGCAGGTGAAGGCAGAGGAAGGGCCAGGCCTGTCTCTAACCCCTCTGCCAGATCCATTTGCGAACCCGACGAAAATGCTCGTAATCAGCCCCCTCAAGGGCTGACTGAGTGTGCTGCGCTCCCAGACAAACAACACACAGTACATGTGTATCCCCACCCGTAATATAACGTGGGCAGGGATGAACACACTTTCGCTCACCATTTTAATGCTTTTTTTTTTACAAGGTGAAAACTCCTGTCTAACAATGCTCTTGATTTACTGAGACAGACAAAAGCACCAAGGACAAACTATTTCACAAAGAGCACTTGCTGAAGGCACACTGTTTGGTTTGGGTGTGTTTTATAATTTCCTGGTCGATGACGTCACCCGCCTATGACGTTCCCTCACGCCATTGGATTGATTTCATACGTGCTTCGCGACGCAATCACACAGAGGCGTTACCACAGCGTTTCGATGCAGTGCGAGTTCCCTTGAAAGGGAACCAGGAGAACTAAACCTACAGGGTCTCTAGGGTGACTGTGTTTTCTGTTGCAGTCCAAATAAATGAGATTTCATGGTTTTGTAGTAATTGTAACAACAACAAAACAACAACAACAACAACAACTTTGCCCTTTGTCCACTTTTATTCCTAGAAAAGGGAGCAGAAAGAACTGAAGCAGAGCTGGGCTCGATGGTCCGCTTGTTTTCGGGGGCAACCCATAACTAACGTCAGGTTCTCTTTTTTTATTTTGTGGTTTTACTCATCTCTCTGTTCATTATATTATTTCAATTCTGCTACCAATAGAAAGTATCCTTGAAGGTTTCTTGATGATGCATTTATTGTATGTGTTGTCAGAAACTACCTTGGCGAGAAGGTGGCTCTTTATTTCCTGTGGCTGGGCTGGTACACATTTCTCTTGATTCCTGCTTCTGTAATTGGTCTCATAGTATTCCTGTATGGCCTGGCTTTCTACAGCACAAGTCCTCTCATGTGAGTAACCTAATATTAATAAACTTCAATGTTTGATTTTTAAATACATCTTTGTTTTTCGATAAACAATTATGGTACTGTGTAAGGTCACCACTTGCTGTCTAATGTAAAATAAGGGTCCTGAAGCCAAATCAACCTGTGTGTGTGCTTGTGTGTGTGTACACAGACAAGAGGTGTGCCAGTCGAACGTTATTATGTGCCCTCTGTGCGATATTAGTTGCAAAGTGTGGGAGCTTTCCGACACCTGCATGTATGCAAAGGTACTGTATTTTTTATGCAGACAATTGTGCACTGACAAGTAAGTGCACTCTTACTTTGTTTTTTACATATACACACATATGCACTATATCACGACTCAATCACCCACTTACAGTATAAGAAGCACTCAAGGCCCTTTAGATAACTCATATCATATTTTAATGATTCAGTAAATCTGTTAGGCTAACTGAGATTTTGGTATGGAGATAATTGAAGATATTTTTTTTCTGTAGTAGTCTTAAGTCTGGAATACACTACAGGACTTTTAAAATCTGAACAGATTAGGCATCATACACTTGCCAACTTTGTAAATGGTTACAGGGTAAAATTGGTTTCATACACTACCAAACTTTAAAATCATTCCGAACACAACAAACACACACAAGAAACACGCTCCTCTTTGCTAGGAGAGTTGTATGACAGTTGATGATCACAGTAGTTGTCACAACAGAAAGAAAATGAGACAAGCGAATTTGGATTAAGATGGAGATGAGTAGCACAATCAGTTGTTTTATCTGTACTGATGAGTCAAAAAATGTAGGCTTATTTTACGCATGTTCTGTTAATTTACTTTTGTTTTGTTATTGTATTTGTGTTGTATTTTATTGCAACACTGATAGATAGAGGACAGCTTCTGTTTCAGTAACGTTTTAAAATTGGCTCAAAATATTAAATATGTTTTGATATCCTCCGACTGGATGGAATCATTGTCTGAACCTAAAATTTCAGAGTCTGTGCCCATCATAAACTATGCGATTTTATGTGAAGTCTGTCAAATCCGTCTGTCCAAATCTGCACTTGTCGCCTCATCTAGACAGCAAATCAGGGCAAAAATCGGAGCAGAATTTGTGTATTGTATTCCAGCCTATTATCAACACTATCATCCCTTACATGTGTTTAATTTAACTAAATACATCATAATCAGCTAAAACGCATGTGCACCTGAGTCCGTGCCAACCGTGCCCCATTCCGAACTAAACTGCCAGTGTGAGAGCACCCTTAGAGTGCAGTTGATTTGGTATTCAACTGGTATACCTAGAAAACAAGTTCCAGTCCCCCAGCTATATATATATACAGTATTTGTGGTGGGAGGAGCAAACGACAGACACAGTGGGAGTGGTGTCAGGCCTCGGAGAGGGATTTATTAAAGTAAATAAACAAAATGTCCAAAAATGGGGGAAATAAAGTGTTAAAACAAAAGGGGATCTGGTGTCCTCGTTGTGCCAGGGAATCGTGAAGGATCGGTAGTGAAGAGATGGGATGGGTCCAGGTAAGGGGGCGGTGTCCGGCGGTGGCACGCCAGCATGCATGCACGGGGAAGAGACCGGTCTCAAGAGGAGAGGCGCGCTCAGCATTTAACAGCTGCGGTGATGAGGCTTCATATTCTTCAGGTGTGCCTCATCACACACCGCCAATTCTCCTCTTCAGTTACAAAAACGTTATTTCAGAATCTTCTCTTAATGTCCAGTTTGTTTATGCAAACATTAGGGAAAACATTAAGAGAACATTTCATTTAATCATTTTGCACAAATTATGAGAATGTTAGTTTCTCTGAGCATTCTGAAACAAATAGTAAGTAACGTTTAAAAAACATTAGACAAACATCCAAATAAAACTTTTTTTTAAAAATAGATACTTTCCAGCAATGATGTATTAATAATGTTTTTATCTGTGCTAAAATTTTGAGAATGTTATTACAGACCAGGTAACTTTATAGAAAAATTATATTAACATTACTGGTAGAACGTTTGTTCAAAACATTCAGAGAAGCTTGCCAGAACATTGGCCACATTTTTGAGAATGTTCTCTATTAGCTGGGGCCTTTTTTTAAATAAAGGTTAAAATGTTTTAATATGTGCTGACACTGTGTCTTTTGGGTCACATGTGCAGGTGAGCCTTCTGTTTGATAATGAGGGAACAGTAGCATTCGCCATGTTCATGGCTGTGTGGGGTAAGTTCAACAACAGCTCTAACCTCATTTAAGTTGGATTGATTCAATGTTATGACAGATGTTATTGTCTTCTTTACAGCCACTGTGTTTCTGGAGTTTTGGAAGCGTCACAGTTCGTCTTATGTGTGCGCATGGAAGGTCTTTGACTGGTGTGAGGAAGAGGTATTACACAGTAACCATCTCTATAACAAAAATACATCATACAGTATTAGACCTTTGAGTTAGCGACTGGGAATTTTATACGAGCTACAAAGTACTGATAACTTTAAATAATATGGTCAAGCTACCCTCTTGAAAAAGCAGCTGGCTACTCTAATAAAACATATTAAACTACATTAAAGGGATAGTTAACCCAAAAATTTCAATTACCCCATGATTTACTCACCCTCAAGCAGAGATGCTCACAAGTCTCTGAACTAGAGTCCAAGTCAAGTCTCAAGTCTCTGAACTAGAGTCCAAGTCAAGTCTGAAGTCTCTTGTGGTTATAATAAGTGTTGCATCACGTACAGCGACCCATCCAGGCTGCTTAGAACACTTCATAGCTATATATAAGGAATTCAAAGCATGTAATGTTATTATGACTCCTTTATCTATTAGCATACAGTATCAGCTTTGATTTAGGTATATAATCAGTGTAAACAGGCTATTTCAACATGACAAAAACACCAAGAATGCTTTACTTTTAAGTTAATATCTGTATCTGTACAAATTGAGGTTCTGAAGAAAAAGGACTCTCATGTCTGTTGCTGAATTATAATGAAAGGCCTTGGCTCCTATTGTGCTGGCTCTGTGGAGCCATACGACCAAATATAGAAAATGTTATAGCCTACCTCACAGCACTAAAATTGACATAGTGCAAAACATCCCAGTGTAGCTAAATGCAAAACACTATTGGAACCAAATGATGTGAAATACATGGTTCCCCATACGTTCATATATTTGTGGCGGCCCGCCACAATATCAACACTGGCTGACCGCCACACATTGATTTTCGATTTTTTATTTTATTTTTACTAAGCCTATTTAAAACCGCACTACCTCTCGCACGTCCCTCTCTCTCTCTCTCTCGTTCACCCATACCTCTCGCGCTCTCTCTACCTCATGGAACACCATGAGGTGCACGCGCGCAGATACCGCATATTTTGCATTGAGCACTTCTTTTATTTGGCCCGTCTTGTTTGAAGTTTTTAAACCCAAAGCTTACGATGAATGGCACAGCAGCGGCCGGTGCAGTCGACATGTTTGTTTGTTGTCCTCTCATGTGTGGCCACGCGCACGTAGTACGTGTTATGTAGGCAGGTTTTAGGTAACGGGTCGGAGGGAGGGGAATAACAGAGAGCTCATCAGACGTTTCCTAAAAATAAACATTGTTCACGAGTCCCGCAGCTCGAGTCCGAGTCGAGTCTGAAGTCTTTCGAGGACGAGTCTTTTGGAAGCTAGTTATTTTAGTCGATAAAGTTTTAAATATGGATATTTTTCTTACACGAACACATCGCTTCGCTTCAGAAGACCTTTATTACTAATATATTTCTAGAAAAAAAATGTATGAGGGTCACAGAACTAATGACTGGTGTAAAGTACAATTTTAACATACAATTAGTCACTCTCCGTTCCGGTAAACTCTCAAAATCAATTGCAACCAATTGTTTCCCAGTTTTTGATGCACATCCACTGCTGCAATGCTAACACTTTCAGTGTAACTTCAAAAAACTGCATCATTGTTACATCATGGTGAAGAACTACAAATATATAAAGCTTAGGGTGGTTGGGTATAACATGTAATTTTGTATGCACTTGTACCATGCAGGAGGAGTTGATTCTGGAGATTGTAAATAATGCACACTGTGAACCCAAGATGCCCATGCACTCTTATCTACGGTCCACTATAGTAATGGTTTTAGCCACACTCATGGTAAGAAACCCATGTTGATTTTGCGAAGATGCATTTACTCTCATAAAAAAATATAATTCATATATGTACGGCTAACGCTTTTCGTTGGTGTCTGTGGTTTATGTGTTATCAGATGCTGATCATCATTGGTTTGACCCATGTCCTGGTTGTGTTTCGAGTGATTGCTACTGTACTGTTGGCTGAAAACAGTTCTTGGCCGGTCATTACGGAGAATTCCCAAACAGTTGCCCTGATGCTCGGAGCTGTGCTACACTACATCACCATCACCGTCATGACTCGGGTAAGCTCTACATACTTTTCAGAGAACTGATAGTTGTCTTATTTTATTTTCCTGTGTTCATGTATTTCATATTGAAACAAGAAGTTTGGACAGAACATAATGAAAAGCTCATATTTTTATATAACCAACAATCTTTGGTTCATGAAAAATCTATGAATCATGATTTGCTACTTGCTATTGATAATCAGAGTCAGGTGATATTAAGTGGACATTCTCATTCTTGAGAGCATTTTATTAGTCAAAAAGTGTATATGCCCCTGATTGCAAGATGATGTCATCAATATTTTTGATAGGTTTTCCTGGAAGACAATCTTCAAATATGCTAAAAATTATTTTATTTTAATTTTCATTTTAGGAGTACACAAGCATAAAGACCTCAAAGTTAAATTTCAATTTCTTGTAGTCTTTAAGCTTAATTAATACGTAATTTACCGGTAAGTTTTAATCATTTGATATCAAATATCTAACACCATTTTGAACTTTCAATCTCAAATCATTGGTTCTATCATTGGGGTAGTTTTAGAGGTATATGGCAATGTTCCAAAATGTATTAGTTACATGTATAACCTGGTTTCCTGAGAAGGGAACGAAACGCTGTGTCAGGAGCTGACGCTATGGGAAAACACCTTCAGTGTGGCGGTGTCTGAAGCATGTGTGCAATCATGGCAATTTTATTGGCAGATGAAGAGTTTATGTGACATAGCGGGCTGCATTACAGAGACCATAAAAGGGCATCTGCACAATCATGACCCAAGATTATGTTTCTTTGAAGGAAGATTCACAGGGATGCCTGAAGAATGGAAAATAGACGCAGCGTTTCTTTCCCTTCTCAGAGGGAGTTCGAAGGAACTCTACTTGGCATCAGGAGTTGACGCCATGGGGAACAGCATACCAACTAGCCATACTGAAAAATGCTTGCCCAACAAAACTGTGAAAAAGAAACGCTTAGCACAGGTTTGCGAGCAAAGAAATAACGAATTAACCCAAAGAGCCTGGGATTGAATCCTGGTCCAAACTGTAGAATCTTATGAATGTTGTTGTGGAAAAAGTCTTCACTCTTTGCAAACAAAAAAAAAAGAAAAAAAGTAAAAAGGTCCCAGATGCCAAAGATCAGACTTTATTGGTCCAGTGAAAGATGCCCAAGCCGAGATGCCAACTGAACATCTAACAATCTAATTCGCAACTCTCTCTTTTATAGAGTTTCTCCCAACCTGTTTAACCAATGAGCGTACATTTGGGTACATTGTACTTTCCAATTTTTTTATTAGCCATTTTTTCTTTCGCCTGCCACAATTAATTCCTAATCTTTCTGCCTTCTACTTAAAAGTGGCGTGTCGCCAACTAGTATATATATATATATATTTTAAATCATCAAGAGAACATATTAAAAACCATTTATCAAGAAAGTGTACACAACATGTAAATCAAAAATAGAAATGTAATATCATTGTACCACTTAGGGACTGGTGTAGGCTAGCCCACTGATTGTTTTCTTTGTAGAGGGAGCTCTAGCTTTTAAAAGGGTCTCTACAACATTGGTTGAGAGACCAAGTTCTATGAGTGGGTTCCCTTCCGGGGCCCAACCCACATTTTCCGTATCTCAGGTCAGGGCTGCCAAATTGCGCCCCACAACTGAGACAGAATTTCGCTCCTGGTCTGAATCTCCAAAGGAGAGCCTTTCAAGAGACATTCTAGGTCCGAGATCCATATTCTGGCTGGCCGAAACAGAGGTATGAGCAACAGGCGTACTCCGTCCTGCCAAACCCTCTCTAGAACTGTCGAGAGCGGAACTATCGGTGGAAACGCATAAAGACGCAGCTTCGGCCATGTTTTCACCTTAGCATCCAGCCCCAAAGGTGCTAGAGGTGTGAGGGAGAACCAAAGGGGGCAGTGGGTCAACTCGATTAAAGCATACAGGTCGACTTCTACTTGGCCAAACTTCTGTTACAATGGCCCTCATTTATCAAAAGTGCGTACACCAAATTTCCAGCGTACACCTGGCGTACACCCAAAACCACGGTGACTTTGAGATGTATCAATATGGACGTTGGCGTACGGCACGCTCAAATCCTACGCCAGCTCAGGAGGTGGTGTACGCAGAAATGCGCAGAAAAACAATTCCTAACACCACAAAATGCACTGACAAACTAAAAGATATTATATATTATGACCCACTGTAAAACAAAAAACAACAACATAGTAATTATAAACTTCAGTGTTTATTTTTGTGCAACATGGACTTCAATTTTTAATTTGTGTGACTTTACCAAAGCATTTGATTTGTAAGCATATGTATTCCTTCAGTTGCGAGCCTGTGCGCTTTACCCTGACGTTTCAGGGTTTGGCCCGGCAGGTGCGCACGGACTGGGTTCGGTAACAAAAGGCTTTCAATGACCAAAAAATTATTCAGACTGACAAAATAATAAAAAATACATTCTTCTTCTTTTAAATAATACAAATAATAATAAAGACATTCTTCTTCTAAATAACAATAAGCGTCATTAATAATACAAATCATACTAATAATAAGAAGAATATTACAAATTGTCATGCAATTATTAATGTGAATGAATGGTACTCCACATCACATCATCATCATCACTATTGTACACCCCAATACATGTAATGTGATTCGAAATTGAATGCTAATTCAAAAGACGTGCTGTAAAATATTGCATTGTGATAGGTCATTTCGGCTCCACGTCAGTGAAGTTTCTCTTCTTTGCCGTCTTCCGTGTGTCCATGGCGTAAAATCAGGGCGTGGGGGAAGCGAAGACTTAAATATATAGGGGCGTGTTATTCTAATGACGATCGTTTTCAGCCGCAGGATTTATCAAGGGCAGGTATTGCGTACACCTGGATTTCAAAGGTACGCACAGCTTCATAAATCAGGCGGTGAGAGGAGTGTAAGCATAATCTTACGCCAACTTATACGCCCGTTTCTACGCAAGAATGATAAATGAGGGCCATTAACTCTACCACCTGTGGATGAAGTCTCCATTCTGTGGGCCTCCATTCTGTGGGCCTCAGCTCCTGCCTAAGAAGGATGTCTGCTCCTGTGTTGCGATATACCAGAATATGAACTGTCCTCAGTGAGGGTTGTTTGTACTTGGCTGTATTCGAAGACCGCAACCCAGCCTGTAAGAGAGGCATTCGTTGAAATGGTTTTCTGATGGAACACACCGAGTGAGACACCCTGAGTTAAAAAATGGGGTCGTCTCCACAGAAGAAGGGTACGAAGACACTTGTACGTAACCCTTTACGACTTGCAGAGGGTGGCATCAAAAGTGAAAACCCCTGCATTTGAGCCACCGTTAAAATGGTCTTATATAGAGCAACGCCTAATGGAATAACCCGGGCGGCTGTTGCCATAAGAGCCAGAAGCCTTTGAAATAGGCTGACTGGAGTACCCTGGCCCAGCCTGATGCTGCCAACACAAGCAAGGATCAACTCCACAAAGAAGGAGATAAATTCGCCTGCCTGGTTGAATCCCATTCTACTCCTAAAATCGTTGTCCTCTGTTTTAGAGAAAGCACACTTTTCTTGAGGTTCAGATCTAGGCACTTTAAGTGAGCGAGAACAACACCTTGATGGTGAACCCGACTCTAAGGTAACCTTTTCTATGGGCCCCTTGTCCAAAAGAGATTGTACTTCTTGTTCTAGAAACAAGGCCTCTTTTACACTTACTAGCACGAGGAGGACACTGTTGAAGTGAGGTGGAAACATGAAAAAAGCTTTTTCTATGGTCCAAAAAACCCAAAGTGACACATTTGCAGAAGTCACCATGCTGCAAATTCTCTGAAAGCAGGATCATATGTTCATTGTCAAGTACCCTACTGATACTTTGAGAAAAGAGGAGAAAACTGCTCTTTTCGGCACCCTAAAACCTCTAACTGGCGAGGAACAACTGAACATCTTGAACAAGGCACTTATTGAAAAAGGGAGGACCTTAATTTCTAAGGGGAGCAGACGACCCTAACAACATTTGTATGCCCCTATAACCTCAGAGGAGGGAGCTGGTGACAACGCCAAGCAGAGACTGGGCAGAATCCTGCTGGGGAATGCTGCTTCCCAAAACACAGAACAAAACACAAACCCTAAACTTAGCATGGGAAACTGTTCTGTTCGGTGTCCTAAAATGACCCAAAGACAGGAAGAAAAAAACTTTTTGACAAGGGAACTGATTGAAAAATGTGGTTCCCGGTATTTTCTGGGGGGCAACACTGCCCTCACAATCTTTGAGAGCTTCACAATCTGGAAGTGACGCTGTCGTGGGTTTAGCAATGCAGCCCCTTGAGGGCATGGAAGCCCTCATCGAAATATATTTAAAAAAGGCTTGGTACGCTTGCCTAACAGAGGTTACAAAAACTGTACTTAAGTAAAAGTACAAGTACTTATAGAAATATTTACTCAAAGTAAAAGTAATAATCTTAATAGTTATTTGAATAAGAGTAAAAAAGTACCCAATAAAATAACTACTCAAGTAGCTAGTTAGTTACTTCAGATCATATACAGTGCTGCTTGAAAGTTTGTGAACCCCTTGCAGAATCTGTTAAAAAAGTGAAGGAAAAAACGAAGGAAACACAATGCATTAAGAACCAGGTTGAAGTTGTCCAAAATTGTCTTAGTTTGTTTAAATATATATATTTTTTTCATGTAGTACTGTCCTTCGGAAGCAACAGAAGATACTTACGTTTCCTGGAACACAAATTAAGTACAATTTACCTTGATCTTCAAATTCAAAACATTTTCACCCCCCGGCTCTTAAAGGTGCACTATGCAGGAATTCCGTTTTTGTCAAACAGCGACCCCTAGAGTCGTTGTGGAGTACTTGTACTGTCGTAAATAGCACTCACGAGTAGATGGCTCTGCACTCATGTCCTGATCCCCTCCCCCTGTACACCGGTACCTGTTCAGTAGGATGGAAGCTGTAACGAGTTGAAATAAGGTGTGGCCCCTTTAAGAGCTGCGTGCGCCCTGTTTAACTGTCGGCAGTCTGTATTGTATGTGCGCCTCGAACACCACATGTATACGGCGCCGGGTTATTTCTGTTTGATGCTTATTTTATCAGATCTTTTTTGCCGTAAAGCAATTCGTTACATCGCGAGACCTGATATCACGCGACACTTCCTGATGCTGCGGCCGGCGGCCCGCCGGCTCAAAGTTGCAAGTGTGTTTTTTCCGCTCACATGCGATAGGGGGGTGCGAAACGACCACCATTCAAAAGAGTAATATAACCATTCCAATGACTCCGAAGCTGTTCGGTTGAGGTAAAAAACCTGCATAGTTCACCTTTAATGCATTGTGTTTCCTTCTGAACATTTGACAGTTTAACTGCTCAGGCCAAACAAGGGACTCAAGAACAACGATAAAATCCCCCCCCCAAAAAAACAGTCCTGGATCATCCAGGTAACATCTAGTGTTAAAGGAGTAGTTCACTTTAAAATGAAAATTACTCCATGATTTACTCACCCTCAAGCCATCCTAGGTGTATATGACTTTCTTCTTTCAGACGAATACAATCGGAGTTATATAAATAATAGGGGTGTAACGATACATGTATTCGTATTGAACCGTTCGGTACGAGGCTTTCGGTTTGGTTTTCGGTACACATTTTTAAACATTTTTAAACCATTTTTCCTGCCGACCCAAATTTTGTTATTTCAAATTTAGGTGCGTCACGCGTGGCAAGCGTGCTCATAATGTAAGAGATGCTGGCATGACCACAACATTGCCCAACATCAAATGGCAAATGTAATGTAAGCGGAACGAAACTGAAGTACTCGTTATTGTGTGGTTGACGGACCGTTTATCAGTTTGGACCAATGCAGCACGAGCCGATCTTAATCAAGCAGCACTGTTACTAACTGTTATACAGCGAAATCCAGTAAAGAAAAAATTTGAATTCGCCACTGAAGTAATAACATCGCTGCAAGATCTAGTGAGAAACATTCACATTTCTCCATTATTAATGGATCAAGCAGCGCTGACGTGGAAACCAGGAAGAAACATTGTGCCATGAATGAACTATTCAGTGTCCACAGATCAGCAACATTCACCATGGATTTACTGTAGTAACACTACTAACAGAATAGTAGGCTATAATGCTTTCAAGTAACATTACGTCGGTTCTCTTACGAGAGTACTCTCGTGTTACATAAGCTAGCTTACGCTACGGGAAAACCTCTTTTCTCGAGAATACTGAAGCCAAAAATTATCCTTATAATTTGTATTAATTTAAAACGCATTTGCTGCAGCGAGCAGACCTAGGCGAGGCAGCTCGCGCGCCTATTGGCTGCTCTGCGGCAACTGCTGCAACCTATCAAGGCACTGCTCGTGACGTAAGCACCAATGAGGGCGCTGCTTGATTTTCATCTCTTCAGCGAAGCCTTCGGCTGTTCTCTTCTCGCCTCGGGGAGTGAAGAGTGCCCTTCTCTTCAGGAGTCCAGTGGGATTAGAGCCAGCGTCGACGCCGAGCTTCTCTGCCTCCTCACGAAGGCCGTGGAGGACCTCGGCCTGGATTGGTCGCTGAGCCCACGCCCAACAGACTCGACGGCTGCTTTCTCCCTGGTCTCCGCGCAGTGCCTCCCACGAGGCCCGCCCCATTTCTCCCCGAACTGGATGAGGAGCTGTCGAATTCCTGGAAGGCTCCTTTTTCGGCTAGGCTGCGATCATCTGTCTCTCCGACGCTCTCCGTTGTGGACGCCGCGAAGGACAAAGGATTTGTTTCCATTCCTCCGGTCGAGGAAGCGATCGCAACGCACCTTTGCCCGCCCTCCGCTGGATGGCATTCTAAGGCCGCTTTGCCTTCTAAAGTCTGCCGAACTACTTCCGCCTTCGTCAGCCGCGCTTACACCGCCGCTGGCCAGGCCGCCTCAGCACTCCACACGATGGCAGTGCTGCAGATTTACCAAGCCAACCTTCTCCGTTCCTTGGACAAGGCGGGCACGGACCCTGACAGCTTTACTGACTTGAGGAGCGCCACAGACCTAGCTCTGCGAGCCACCAAGTCCGCCGCCCAGGCCATCGGGAGGAACATGGCGTCCCTCACCGTTGTCAAGAGATATTGTGGCTGACGCTGTCGGATATGAAGGACGCTGACAGAGCCTCCTTCCTTGACGCGCATGTGTCTCCTTCTGGGCTTTTCGGGCAAGCTGTTGATGGGTTTGTGGAGCGTTTTTTTTACAGAGGTCCAGAAGACGTTGCAGGCTATGCAGCACTTCATCCCTCGACGCTCGAGTTCCGCGTCAGGACGCTCTAGGAAACAGCCTGCAGCGTCAGCGACCGAAAGAGCGCCAACGCTCGAGTTCGGCTGGCCGTCGCAAACAGCCTCCTCCTCGGGGAACCAGGCCCAAGATGACGATGGATCCTGTGCCACCGAAATCTTCCTGACTCTAGGAACACGGCGAAGGTCGAGTCCCGCTGCGGCCGGACCGCCTTTGAAAGCAGCACGTGTCGCTCACAGTTTCCGCGGCCGCGGTGACTGGAGATGTGTATTCTACAGCCAACGAGCCAGTTGCACAACTAGCTCGCCTGTACCCAAACGCCGTTTTCACGGTGACCCAGATAAATCTCAAAAAGAGCATTATGTCTGTTTATCCGGCTCTCGCCGAAGGGGTTTTAAATGTAGGAAATGTGCCCACGTCCCAGTGTTCACCCCTACACATAAATGTGCCCACTCAGTTTGTTGACATTGAAGGACATCCATAGCCGCGTAACCACAACATTTTTTGGGTGAACTATCCCTTTAATTAAGTTGCCTGTTTTGAATCAGCCTTTGCATTGAGTTGCCTGTAATGCAATACAATTTGGAACAGAGCTTATTTCTTTTTTGGCTTATGATAACAATAGTTGTAACATTGTAATTATTTCATTCAGGTCAATTGTACAGTAGCCATGAAGCTGAGTGAAATAGGTCAGTGAAACACAGTTTGTGGCTTTAATTGTCAGACATTTTTATTGTTAACCCTATTTGTTTGATATAAAACACTTCTCAAGACTATACTGTTTTTTGTTGTTGTTGTTGTTGTTGTTGCTTGCAGAGAATAAGCACTCCCATTCTGCCATTGAAAGGAGTTTTACAGTGAAGATGTTCACATTCCAGTTCTTTACAATGTTCTCCTCTCTCATGTACACAGCGTTCTTTCTGGGAAGGTAGCCTTGACAATTAATAGTTTCTATTATATTGTATTTTCTATGATATTATACTAATTACTATAAATTAATTGCTCTGTTTGCAGAGTAATCCCATTGTTATATTACTTATGAATGTATTTGTAAAATTAATGTCAGCCTTTACCAGATACATCATTCATGAATTTGTCAGTATTAGTTTTGTGTAGCCCTGTCATATGCTTTGACTGATTGGTTATATTGTACAGTGCAGTTGAGAGGTGTTTTTACCAGGGCATAACCCATTTCCTCTAAAATTAATACAATTTTACTGTAATAAAAATGTACTGTAAGCAACAACAAAAAAGTAATGCACTTAAAAAACTTTTTTTTTTAAAGAATTAATGGTCACCCTGGAGGATATACAAGAATATCTGGCAGATGGAGACTGGAGGAGGTGTGGCAATTATAATGTTCTCTACAGTGTGCTATAAATAAACAATGCTGTACTATATTTTATTTTTTAACTTATTTGTTTACACTAATTTTTATGCAATATTACATTCTTTTCAATTCAGTGTCACCCAAGTGGCTGTCTCACAGATTTGTTCATTCAGATGTCTATTATCATGGTACTTAAACAGACCTTCAACAATATCTTTGAATATTCTGGTCCGTAAGTGGAACATTTTTATTGTCTTTGTGTGGTCTGTGCTTTTTATCATTTAACACTGGTGTTGGAAATCAAGATCTTTTTCAGAACCAGTTCCATATAATATAAAATACTGACAACCAAACATTTTTATGACGTAAGATTCCGCTACTACACGTCTTTTCTATTGTGTGTTCTATGTTGACTTAAAATGTTACCGAAAGTAGTATTTCAGTCATATGCTATTATGTAGTTAAGACCATTTCTTCGCCAAGTATAAAAAATAATAGTTAAGGAACCGGAATCATTACATTTCTTATAATCCTGATCCCTATTTTACACTGCTTTGTGTACTTTGTATAATATACAGTAAATGTATAAGAGATAACAAACACTTATTTATACCCTCTAACCCAAACACCTATTTATACCCCCTTACCCTCATACAGCTGGTTTAGAAGGTGGTTGAACAGGAAAAAGACCCAGAAGCTGCGGAGAAGATGTGTCAAATGCTATAAGAAGGAGTGTATGAGCGCCAAGGAAGGATCCGAACTCTGTGAAAACTGCAAACGCGAAGACCTCCACAGAAACTATGGCCTGATTAAAACTGATAGCTTCAGCCTCTTTAATGAGTTCTTGGAAATGGGTACAGATCTTGAAAATATGCTTGAAGATGTAATCGTCGTTTTGTGTGTGTGTTTGTTCCCAGAACCGGTTACTAGTGGTGTTTGCTATAGACAATAATCACTACTATTGTTCATTCTTATAATTAGGGATATAACTCAAATCCCTAACCATAAGTATTAAATTTTGGTCAGTAACTCGTCCTACACATTTTATCATGATTGAGATCTCATACCATAGAGATTTGGAGTAGGCTTCTTTGATTTGGGCCAGTAGTAACCCCAACACATAGTAAAATACTAATAACAACCACTTAGAACGCCTTCGCAATCACATAGTAACAGCCTGGTAGCCTCCCACTACACCTCAGCATTGTTGCAGCAAGTTTTGCAGTTTTGGGTCTTCAAAACTCTTCTAGTGTTCTTTTAAGAGGATACATTAGAAAGCGTATGTTTTCTTTGAAACACAGATGTCTAAAATTAGCATTTTTTGTTTGTTTTACCTCCCCAGTGATGCAGTTCAGTTTTACTACTATCTTCGTAGCAGCATTTCCTTTGGCTCCATTGTTGGCTCTTCTAAACAACATCATTGAGATCCGATTGGATGCCATTAAGATGGTCAGTCTTGAACGCAGACTAGTACCAACAAAGGCCAACAATATTGGTGAGGGAAAAAAAGGTTCATGGCATTATAAACAGAATATTCATACCATGAGAAATCATTTGATATCAAAGAGCTTATGGAACTATGTAAACATACTGTAACTTGCAGAACTCAAAACTTCCTATGCAGTTCAAACTGACCATTTATATTAACAAACTAAAATTGACGTGTTGTCTGAAAGAATCGTTCTGAGCTCCAGTCACTGTGAGGAAATACAACAGTTATTCCTAAATATTAGAACAATTATAGATGAGGGTAAAATGTGGCTTTGTTTATTGCCTACAACTCTGAATATCCTTCTGAAGCAACTAAACAGGATCCCTCATCATTTCAGTCTTGTTTTAACAGTTTGAGTAGCACAATTCTTTGTAGATTATTTTATGAATCTGTCACAAAATAATGCAGCTTTGCAAAGAAACTTGACAATAAAAGATTGCAATAAAAATAGAGAATGGAAAATGATCATGAAAAAATATGTGGACCTCAAGCAATGTTCAACTTTTTTTCTCATTTCAGGTGTTTGGACAGAAGTGCTGGAGGCCATTAGTGTGCTTGCGGTCATTGCTAATGGACTGGTCATTGGTATATCCTCTGATTTCATTCCTCGTCTGGTTTACAAGTACTACTATGGGCCTTGTGCCAGCGGCAGTGCTACAGGCATTGAGTGAGTTGGACTTGAAATTTCACACCTGCTTAATCAATATATTTGGAGCACCACAAATGTGTCTTTCAATCTTCTTTGTTTAATTTCAGTTGTATGGTTGGATACATAAACAACACACTTTCCATTGCTTATATAAGTGATAAGAGAGTTAGTGAAGATTTCACACATCATCAGATGGTCACTTACAGTGGCATAAATGTGACACACTGCAGGTAATATCTATCTATCTATCTATCTATCTATCTATCTATCTATCTATCTATCTATCTATCTATCTATCTATCTATCTATCTATCTATCTATCTATCTATCTATCTATCTATCCTAAACACCTTATGGACTTAGCAACCTCTCATAACACTCAAGCAACCAAGATCATTTCATTTGTCCATTAGACAACAGTCCTGTTTAAGTGGGTGGTTCTTAGCAATAATACGCTTGAATGAACACACAAAATTTAATTCATTTTCACTTATTAATTTGTATGTATGTGCACATTTGATTATGGTCATAATCAAACCTGTGCTGTTTATGTACTGTTTATTTACTGTACTGTTAATTTTCAGCTACAGAGACTACAGAAGTAATGAAGACTATAGTTTAACTAATCAGTTTTGGGTCATTCTGGCAGCACGATTAGTCTTCATCATTCTGTTTGAGGTAATCTGATACATAAAATAAGAACAGGATTCCAGATACACAGTAATTACACTAAGAATAATAATGAATTTTATTGCTCACTCACTATTTTCATCTATCTCTCTGTGACCAGCATGTAGTTGTGATCTTTAAGTGTGTAGCAAGCTGGTTTGTCCCTACTTCCCCCCTGGATGTGAGAAATGAAAGACTGTATGATAAACTCAAAAGGCTGAAAGAAGAATTGAGGTCAGTAACAAGAGCTAATAAAACAACATTTTAAAACAATTATATATATATATATATACACTCACCGGCCACTTTATTAGGTACACCTGTCCAACTGCTCGTTAACACTTAATTTCTAAGCAGCCAATCACATGGCGGCAACTCAGTGCATTTAGGCATGTAGACATGGTCAAGACAATCTCCTGCAGTTCAAACCGAGCATCAGTATGGGGAAGAAAGTTGATTTGAGTGACTTTGAACGTGGCATGATTGTTGGTGCCAGAAGGGCTGGTCTGAGTATTTCAGAAACTGCTAATCTACTGGGATTTTCACGCACAACCATCTCTAGGGTTTACAGAGAATGGTCCGAAAAAGAAAAAACATCCAGTGAGCGGCAGTTCTGTGCGCGGAAATGCCTTGTTGATGCCAGAGGTCAGAGGAGAATGGCCAGACTGGTTCGAGCTGATAGAAGGGCAACAGTGACTGAAATAACCACTCGTTACAACCGAGGTATGCAGCAAAGCATTTGTGAAGCCACAACACGCACAACCTTGAGGCGGATGGGCTACAACAGCAGAAGACTCCACCGGGTACCACTCATCTCCACTACAAATAGGAAAAAGAGGCTACAATTTGCAAGAGCTCACCAAAATTGAACAGTTGAAGACTGGAAAAATGTTGCCTGGTCTGATGAGTCTCGATTTCTGTTGAGACATTCAGATGTTAGAGTCAGAATTTGGCGTAAACAGAATCAGAACATGGAACCATCATGCCTTGTTACCACTGTGCAGGCTGGTGGTGGTGGTGTAATGGTGTGGGGGATGTTTTCCTGGCACACTTTAGGCCCCTTAGTGCCAATTGGGCATCGTTTAAATGCCACGGCCTACCTGAGCATTGTTTCTGACCATGTCCATCCCTTTATGGCCACCATGTACCCATCCTCTGATGGCTACTTCCACCATGTCACAAAGCTCTAATCATTTCAAATTGGTTTCTTGAACATGACAATGAGTTCACTGTACTAAAATGGCCTCCACAGTCACCAGATCTCAACCCAATAGAGCATCTTTGGGATGTGGTGGAACGGGAGATTCGCATCATGGATGTGCAGCCGACAAATCTGCGGCAACTGTGTGATGCCATCATGTCAATATGGACCAAACTCCCTGAGGAATGCTTCCAGCACCTTGTTGAATCTATGCCACGAAGAATTGAGGCAGTTCTGAAGGCAAAAGGGGGTCCAACCCGTTACTAGCATGGGGTACCTAATAAAGTGGCCGGTGAGTGTATATAATATATATATATATTTTGGGTTTGGGGGGTGGAGTGGGTTTTAAGAGTCTCAATGATTATGGTTAAACATGATCAAGTTGATGATTATTGCGCTGTTCATTTTTAAAAAATGTAGGGCGGTACTGGATTTTATTCATTGCAATGTATTGGAAAGTGAGGCAGGATGTCATTCACCTGAAAATATATATATATATATACAGTTGTAATAAAAATTATTCAATCCCTGCAAATCAGGGTTATTGGCAAAATGTACAGACTTTCAGCTGTTTGCACTGAACAAATCGAACAAAAGTAATTGAAATAGCTCAACACAACAAATGTTTCAAGTTGTTTCCCCAAATTCAACTGAAAATGCAACTTTTAATGACTTCTGCAGTCACAAAATTATTCAACACCCTGAATAGAATCCCTCACAACAGCACAAATCTGCAAAACAGGTGTTGTCTCAAACACACATGGTGCAACTAATCAAGGCCTTCATTAGTTCCACCATCTGTGCTTGAGCTAGAACACATGAAATATCTGAACTTATATATACAGTATATATAAAGAGAGAGTATTCTTAATGTGCATAAATAATGTGAAGATAATTAATATTTTAATGAACTTTAAAAATGTATATATGTGTGTTGGTTCATGTTATTGATTTATTTCTCTAATTAAAATAATCTTTTTTTTTTCTAGAGTTCAAAGAGCACAACCGGACACTTTGACCAAACTAAATGAGAATGGTAATGTGAAAAGAACATCTAAACAGAAAAAGGCAAACAAGCTAAATAGTATGTGAGACAAATGAGCTAAAACAAGGTGCCCCCACATAACAATCTTATTTTTGTGTAATCTCAAGAATATTTGGCTGGATGAGTGTATATGTCTTTGATACATTGATCAAAGCATTGATACAGTTGCATGAATTGTATATAATTTTGTATTTTTTAGCATGGAAACCCATTAGTTGCATTTTTTATAAGATGTATATATAAAACAAAATGTGACCTATTATACTCATGATAAATGGCATGGTTATATAATTCAGTTATTTTGTGAAATAATGTATAAAAATAGAGCCAATGAAAGTGCTGTGGTTTGAGTTCCTGTCAACATGTAATTGAATAAAATGAATAAAATTGATGTCTTGACCTCTCAGAATTGATTCCACCAACATTTGCACTAAATGGATCAGAAACTCAAAGAAATGAATATAACCTTATAGGCTAATTTGAAAAAGATATGCCATGTCAGTTTCCTTTCGAAAGGGAACTCGCACTGCGTCGATGACGCTTTGGGGAACGCCTCAGGCGTGACAGGTGTCTGAAATCACGGCAATCACATTGACCGGCGACAGCCCGTGAATCATTAGCATGAATGATTAACTTTTGACCTGGAAGTATAAAAGTTGACCTGGAAGTATAAAAGTATACCGTGGAGCTGGCCTTCTTCTCCTGTGGAGCGTGTTTTGTCATCTTTTGACCCGTCTCCCGGTGCACGGTGAAACGTTGCAATACACACGGGAATTTCTTCTCCTGCTTCGCAATGCCAGGGTTGGCTCTGTGAATCCAAATGTGGTCTTCGCCGAGGAGATCATTCAACCGCTGGCTTCCACGCCTGGGGCCCAGAGCTGGATACCACCACGGGCAAGGAGGAAGAGAGGGAGACGTGGAGGTGTACGGCAAAGGCTCAAAAGACTTGGTCACCGTAGAATCCCCCTTCCCTCTATAATGTTAGCAAATCTGCAGTCCCTACGCAATAAAGTGGATGAAGTCCAAGCACACGTGAGGTTTCTGGAGGAGTATCGGGACGCGTGCATTCCTCGCCGTCACAGAAACATGGCTTATGGCTCGTTTCCATTGAGCGGTACGGTACGGTCCGGTACAGTACAGTACGGTTCCGTCGGTAAACCATGATCCGGCTAGCGTTTCCACCGCCAACAGTACCCTTACTTGATAGGCATGGTGTTTGCCGGAAAGAAGCGATCGACGTCATTTTCGCGCGAAGAAAGCGACATAGTATACAACAATGGATGACATACTGCAGATCTTGTTATTGCTTCTCGGTATGTTTGTCACTAGAAACAAGCGCCGGCATTAGGCGTTTCCACCGCCAACAGTACCCTTACTTGATAGGCGTGGTGTTTGCCGGAAAGAAGCGATCGACGTCATTTTCGCGCGAAGAAAGCGACATAGTATACAACAATGGATGACATACTGCAGATCTTGTTATTGCTTCTCGGCATGTTTGTCACTAGAAACAAGCGCCGGCATTCAGCGTTTCTCAATACCAAGTAGCCTACGCAAAGTCCGACTCAGGAGAAAGACTCCCGAGTCCAGTAATTCTGCTAATGGAACAGCGCGTTCTTGAAAGCGCCACTCAGCTCGCTCTGCTACTCCGGTTATCTCTGTATGTACATTTTAGGCAACAATAAAACGAAATATGTTATAAAACACCACTCTGCTTCTTTTCGATTTCATTTAAATACATTTTTAACATTATAAGCACATAAATGTGGTTCAGGCAACGCATAGCCTATTGATTATATTCACTGCATGTACTGTATGTAGCCTATATATTATACTATTTATAACAAAACTAAATATAAAACACAACCCTGCCTCTTTTCGTTTAAATTTAAAAATATTAAACATATTCCAGGCAATATGTGCATTGGTACAAATGTTCCAATAAACAACATTACAGATGGTCTTGTAATAAAATAAAAAATTATAAAACTCAACCCTATCTCTTTTGTTAAATTTCAGTTTTATCAATAATAGCCATTATAAAAGTATAAGTAAAAGGTACAAAAAGCTATACAGTAAAGCGCTGTTATGTTATTAAATAACATAAAGCAAACAATTCAGTCAAATATACAAATTCAGCGCTCAAATATATGAAACTTCACTTAGCCTTCTGCCAAAACTATTGGCCAGGGAACGAATTATAGATTCACGAGACCAAAGATCGCCTGTTAGGTCTATACAAGACGAATTATATCTCATGTTTAACCACTACAGACAGAGACGTCAGAGTCAGCGGCAAACATCAGAACGACTAGCCGAGGAAAGACTGTTCCAGGTGGGGTACTTGAGCGCCGATCGCCCGGTGATTGCTTGGAATGGATCTCAGTCAAATTATCATAAATCTATAAATAAACCACAGATTTCAGCTTTAAAAAACTACATTCTCGCCTGAAAAACTCTTAAAACTACATTTCGTGACACAATAACAGTAGTATTATATTTCAACTGTATATTAAAAAATGGCGCTTCTAATGCCCTTGTAGCAAGCGCAAGTGACGATACTCTGTCAACCAATCAACGTTCTGCAGTGAGTCTAGCTCCTCCTTTTAGTACCGTACCACTGTGCTAGGTACCCCAACGGAAGGGTACCCAAAAAGTGGTACGGTACGGTTCGGCTTTTTGGTACCATTCACAACTTTTGACAGTGGAAACGCAAATAATTGCGTACCGTACCGTACCGCTCAGTGGAAACGAGTCATTAAAGAGCACGTCTCCCAGGAAGATATGGAAATTGATGGCTTTAGAGCACCCTTTCGTCTTGACAGAGACCCCGCGGTGACCGGTAAGTCACTGGGCGGAGGTTTATGTTTATACATTAATAAACGCTGGTGCAGTACAGTTATCATTCGTGAGTCCTTATGTACACCAGACATTGAGCTTTTAGCGGTGTCGCTACGGCCATTCTATTTGCCGAGGGAATTTCCACAACTGTTTGTGACTGTGGTTTATATTCATCCCAGGGCTTACGCTGACATCGCAACACAAATCCTGACCAAAAAAGTGCAGAGTTTTCAAGCGCGAGCAAACAGTTGATGCGCCGATTTTTTTAATGGGAGATTTTAACCACTGTAAACCCGGGAAAGCGCTTGGTCACTTCTTTCAATATGTCACTTGTCCGACTCGGCATTCCAAGTGTCTTGATCTTTGTTTTGGGACAGTTAAAGGAGCATTGGTGCGTCCGACCACAGTGTTGTTTATCTTGTTCCGACATACAAAACTGTCCTGAAGAGGAACAAGCCTGAGCGAACTCTGGTGCCGGTATGGTCGGATGAATCGGTGCAGGATCTACAAGAATGTTTTGCTGATACCGACTGGGACGTTTTTAAGAATTCCTGCACAGATATAAATGAATTAACAGAAACGGTTTCTAGTTATATTTCTTTCTGTGAAAATATGTTTGTCCCCAAGAAATCGTGTTTATTTTATGCTAATAATAAACAGTGGGTCTCAAAATCAGTCAAGAAACTGATTAATCAGAGGAATATTTATTTTAATCAAGGAGACACGCAGCAATACAGGGAGCTCTCAAAGCAAGTTAAGAGAGAACTTAAACTCGCAAAGTTCGCTTACAAAGATAAAGGTGAAAAATAATTGAGTGCAGGTGATGCACGCCCTGCATAGGAAGGTGTGAAAAATATGATGGGTATGCCAACAAAGAAGAGTGTAGTCTCACTTAATGGGATAAATGACAAACAACTTTCAAATGAATTTAATGTTTTTTTTAATCGTTATGATGAGCATAATTTTAGTAAAGAGGTGTCTGTTTTTAAGGATAATGCTTGTACTCCCCCTAATGTTCACATCGATAAATGTGCTGTCATTAAAGCTTTTAGATCAGTCAAAGAGAGGAAAAGCCCTGGTCCTGATCATATTGGAGGACAACTTCTTAAAAACTGTGCTGTGCAGTTGGCGGACATCTTCACATACATCTTTCAACTATCACTGCAGTTGCACTGGGTCCCTCGTCTTTGGAAAGACTCTATCATTGTGCCAGTCCCAAAAATTAAAGCCCCAAAGCTACTGAATGACTTCCGACCTATAGCACTCTTTTCTCTGGTGATGAAATCGTTTGAAAAACTGGTGAAGTCTGCCATAATGGACAATGTGCAGGACAGACTGGATCCTTTACAGTTTGCTTATAGACCAGGTCGAGGTGTGGATGATGCCACAGGAACACTTTTAAATTTGGTTTTTAAACATCTCGAAGGGGCAGGTTCTCTAGTCCGTTTGCTTTTTGTTGATTTTTCTTCTGCATTTAACTGTATTCAGCCTCATGACTTAGCTGATAAACTGAATCAAAACTTCAACATTGACACAGGTTTGATCAGTTGGCTGATGGACTTCTTAACAGAGCGGCCTCAGCGAGTCAGGGTCAATGGGATCCAATCGGATGTTCTTTGGTCATCAACTGGATCTCCGCAGGGCTGTGTACTGTCGCCACTTTTATTTGTCCTATATACTAATGACTGTCAGAGCAGCTATCCAGGTCGTCATGTTGTTAAGTTTGCTGACGACTCTGTCACTTCTAAGTCAGAAAGACTGTGAGCATGGTCCTGTTTTATCAGATTTTGTTGAGTGGTGTGGAACTGCCTTTCTAAACATTAATGTAAACAAAACTTAAGAAGTGTACATCAACTTTGGCAGGTGACCTGTGTCTCTTCCTCCTGCTCTTATCAATAGCCAGGCTGTGGATCAGGTAGAGAACTACAAATACCTGGGGACAGTCATTGACAATAAGTTGTGTTTTGAGTCGCAGGTAGATGCTGTCTGCAAGAAGGCTCATCAACGTATGTACTTTTATCTTAAACTTAGAAATTTTAACCTGGATACTACCTTTATGAAAATGTCACGGGGTGACAAAATCCATTCCGGCTTGACCCACTGCCGTATTTGCTTTTCCCACTAGATTAGAAATAGATTTCTTTAATGGTTTAGTGAGAGAAGCCGACGCCTTCAGGGACGATCCTGAACCGGGAGACAGAACCGGGAAAAGATCTTCTGAATCTTTCCTTCACACAGCGTGGATGTATCAATCTGCCAGAAAAAGAGCTTCTCAGTGATGTGAGTATCCCATAAAGGGAGTTGGACGAGGTCTCCAACATGGATGAGAGCTTAGCTCTCACCCTCCTCTCCCCCACCACCTCAACTGGCTCAAGTGAGCAACCCAGGACAGAACTGGCCTTTTTAATCAGTTTGTTCAGCCTCATCCTGTCTACCGTTGTGATGCAGCTACTCCAACATACCACACCAAAGAAGATGGCTGACGCCACTACAGAGTCATAAAAGGTCCTCAGGAGTGAACCCTGCACTCCAAAGGACCTTAGTCTCCTGAGCAGGAATAGCCTCTTCTGGCCCTTCTTATAAAGGGCGTTAACAGTGTCTGTACAATCCAGTTTATTATTAACCTGGAAACCAAGATACCTGTTGGAGTCCACAATCTCAATATCCACCCCCTGAATATTTACAGGAACCGTAAATATTCAGGGGGTGGATATTGAGATTGTGGACTCCAACAGGTATCTTGGTTTCCAGGTGGGGGTGAAACCATAGAGGGAAGGAAGCCCCTTTTCTCTGCTGGCCATTCAATATTTAATTTATCTACAGCCCTAGTAATCATATCCACCAGCTCCTCATATGCTGGGGAAAGAGATGGCGAATCCCCTTCCCCCATGATTGTGTCACTTTCAATGCCCAGCACATCTACCTTCTCGGAGGTAAAGCACTGAAGCATTGGTCTCTCTCCCCGGGCGGAAGAACCCACGGGCGGGCCTCCGAACCGAAGGCTGATACCGCATGCTCCACTCCCAAACACATCACACAAAGCTTGTGTGTGTCCCCACTTGTTTAATAACGCAAGCAGCGAGAAACACAGAGATTGTGCAATTGTTTCGCCATAGTGTTTATATATATATATATATATATATATATATATCAGACAGACAACAGTAAATATAACAGACAGATTGACACAGATCACTTGCTGAGGCAACAGAAGCTAATGCCGGTTTGCACCGGATGCGCTTTATCTCTTCCTGGTCATGACTTCACCCGCCTGTGACGCTCATTCTTTCCATTGTACTAGTTGACATAGATGTTTCAGACGCATTCACGCTGGAGGCGTTCCCAAAGCGTCATCGACGCATCGCGAGTTCCCTCGAAAGGGAACATATGTTTCATATAATTACTTTGTGTCATGAGAGCCCCATTTTTTTTCACAAGAGCAAAAGTAAGAAAAATATTGTTCTGGGTCAGAAAACCCTCATAACCCTGGCTGCCTGATTTTCTAAGCTGTAAATGTCTTTGTAAATGTTTTTGAATGTTTAAATTTCCATAATGTCCCCAGGCCTGTGTATCCCAGTACAACACTTACTACCTAGGTTTTTTTCAGGTTTTTTTTATACATTGTTGGGTATCACAGTAAAGATTCTCTCTAATTTAGAGTTGCCAAAAAGTACAGACTTCGGTACCAAGTCGGTTCGGAAATTTTTTGATTGTGACGTTTTGAGCGCTGTTGAGCGGAATCGTAAACACCTCTGATTGGCCATTGTGTTCACACGCTCATCGGATTTGTCTGTAATTGGCTACAACGATCAACGCACAGGAGCGTTTTTGAGCACACGTAAGTGTACTGCCCCCTTGTGAGAAGAGGTATTTAAGTTTTGAGTCTCTTGTGTTTTGTCCACGCAGAGTTTCCGTAGCTCAGTCGTTCTCATAACATTCTCACTGCAAGTCAAACTCCGGAGTGTTAAAGTTTATAAACTATCATTTTGGTCTCTGACGAATATCTGTCTGTTTAGTGGTCTTTAGTGGTCAGTCAGTGGTCTAATGCAAGCGTTTTGGCTGCTAGAGCACGCGCTAAAGCAGCAGCCGATCAAGCACAGGCATCATACGCTGAAAGAGAAGCAGAGGTGATAAAAGAGGTATTTGTTTCATAGAGATCTTAGCTTCCTTTTGATATCCTATTTAGTCATTTTAGCATGTTTTCTATTCGTAATTTGTAAGGAAATATGTGACGCTAGTAGCGTTAGTTTCTCTATGGCATTTTCTATGTAAATTAGCATTGTGTTATTTGCTTGCTATGCGATCGTGATTTGAAGGTTTTAGTTATTTCTAGACTACTTATTTAGTTTTGCATTGTATATTCATCATATTGAGATTGTTATATGCTCTTCTTTGTTTTTGTATGTTACAGTTTTACAGTCCTTTCAGTAAAACACCACAAAACAGCAAGAAGCTTCTGGTTCTTTATTGGAAACTGTTAGCTATCTGTAAAGCTAGATTTCATGCACACTAGTGAATGCAGAATAGTAAAAAGACAGCATGGAAAGTCAGCCAAAAGTCGACACGGAAGACAACACTGCTGTCCCTGATCGCCAAAGTTCAGTCAGCAACGTTGGTGACCTGTGGGAAACGAGATCGAACTGTTCCAACACCTCACGTGCCAGTCAGCGGTCACGCGCCAGTCAGCGGTCACGCGTCAGTCAGTGGTCTAATGCAAGCGTTTTGGCTGCTAGAGCACGCGCTAAAGCAGCAGCCGCTCAAGCACAGGCATCATACGCTGAAAGAGAAGCAGAGGTGATAAAAGAAAAGGCCCACATCGAGGCTGAGGCTACAAAAAAGAAAGCAGAGCTCAGCGCTGACCTCCTCAAACTGCGTCTACAGAGTGCAGCTGCTGCTGCCAACGCCGAAGCAGAGGTCCTGGAAGCGGCCGCCGAGGATGAAGGTGGAGAATCCTGGGGCCTCATTTATAAAACTTTGCGCAGGATTTGCGTCAGAAGTGGCGTACGGATGAAACATAGGACGTGCGTACGCACAGAAATATTCGGATTTATAAAACCGTGCGCACGCACATCCTACGCATTTTTCCCTTAATAAATCATAATCAATTCTAAATGTAGCGCAGCTTTTGCGGCTTCATGTCACGCCCATAGTTGCCCATAAATAGTCCGTGAAACGCCCATAAGTTAATATTCATCGATTGCAAAATCATGGCAAACATAGAGAGGAAATCAAAAAAACGTAACTTCACTCAATGTGAAGTAGAAGTTATCGTTGGCGAGGTGGAAAAGAGGAGAAAAATGTTGTTTGGAGGGCACAGTGTGGGCATATAGGCTACTAATGCCAAAAAGGCACTTGAGTGGCAAAAGGTTGCAGACGCCGTAAATGCTGTAGCCTCACAACCTCGGACTGTGGCCGAAATAAAAAAGAAATGACAAGCTACAGATGTCGGTTATAATCTACTTGGAAATGGGAAATAGTTCAGCGCAAATGTAATTTCTTGGAGCTTTCTGAATGGTTAAGACATAGGTCTACGTCATACGTTATTTTATCAAAAATAAAACAAACTAAAGGCATATGCATGAATACCATGATTCCGTAGCTGATGAAGTCATTTTTACTATGAAAACAACTTTCCCCAGTGGACAAATAATACATCTATCTATCTATCTATCTATCTATCTATCTATCTATCTATCTATCTATCTATCTATCTATCTATCTATCTATCTATCTATCTATCTATCTATCTATCTATCTATCTATCTCCCTAATTATCTATCTATCTAATTGCATCTATATCTGCTCCGCCTGACGGACACATTGGCGAGAATATCAGTTTTGTACATTATTTCGTTCTGTTTACCATCTTATTTATGAGGATGAATTGTATAACATGCCAATATTATTGCAGAACATATTTCACTTTTCTTTTTGCAAATATGTGTTAATTTGCATTTCTGTTGCAGATCGATCAAATGGGTGTTCGTGTAGGCTGTTAATTGTAAGACTTGCTTTGTGAAGTTATTTATGATTTATGAGAGGCAGTATTGCCATTTATTTTACACAACGGTCTACAGTTTCACACACTTTCACGTGTTTCTTCCATCTGCCGACGGTGTCGCCATTTCTCAGTTCACCCGTTTTTGTGCGTACGCCTGGGTCAGAGCTTGCGTGAAGGACCGCACATTTTACCGTCAAGTTTGCTTTTTATAAATACCAATTATTGCGTAGAGAGCGGCGTACGCCTTCTTTTGTGCGTACGCAACGTTTATAAGTGAGGCCCCTGGTTTCCAGAAAACAGCGACAGCGTAGTTGAGCCCATACCAGCTCCACCTCCACCGACTAATAACCGCTCTGATTCCCCTCAAGCTACCACACTGACGCTTCCAGCAGCTCAGCGAGTAAAATACAGTGGTGATATTGAGCAACATAAAGATGAAGAGCATAACATACCAAACAGCGAGATCAGTGAATATGGGTTTCAAGAGCTACCAGTGGCGCATTCCTCACAGTATTGCATCGCCAGTGGAACAAATCGTTCTTATGCCCAAAGCTCGTTCAAAAATGCCTTTTTCACATCTCACTCACAGTATCCTACCCCAGTTACTACCGACCACAGATTTCAGCCACGTTTTATGAACCAGTCAGTCCCTTTTCAGCCTAGGCTGTCGTCACCATGCCCTGTAGCCAGTGCAAACGAGTCCAATTTCCCAGCCACATCGGACTTAGCCAAATATTTGATGCGCAGAGAGTTGGTCAGCTCAGGGCTCCTGACGTTTGATGATAAGCCTGAAAATTATTGGGCTTGGAAGGCATCCTTTTTGAACGCTACTGTAGGTCTCTCTTTATCCCCAAGAGAGGAGTTAGATCTCCTCTGCAAGTGGTTAGGCCCCAAATCATCAGAGCAAGCGAAACGATTAAGGGCTGTGCACACCTACGATGCCACAGCTGGTGTCAAAATGGTATGGCAAAGACTAGATAGAGAATGCTCTCCTGAAAAAGTTGGAAGATTTTCCCAAAATCGCAAACAGAGAAAACTGCAAGTTAAGGGAGCTAGGTGATCTCATCTCAGAGCTTGATGCTGCCCGGGTAGATGGACTCCTGCATGGCCTGAGTTACCTAGACACGTCCCGGGGCATCACACCCATTGTTCAGAAAATCCCATTTCACCTCCAAGAAAAATGGATCACCACAGCATCCTACTATAAAGAGCAACACCATGCTTCATACCCGCCATTTCCTGTTTTCGTGAAGTTTGTGTGTGACAAAGCTAAAACTTTAAATGACCCAAGCTTTACTCCCTTGCTTTCTACTGGTGGTCCAAGTGTTTATAGGCCTGAAAGAATGAACAAGCCCAATTTCAAAACTGCAGTATCTGTTCGAAAAACTGAAATACTTGCTCCAAAAGGCAATCGTGAATCCTCTGACCAAAAGGTGGTTGACCCGGATAAACTGTGCCCGCTCCACAACAAACCACACTCCCTTCGCAAGTGTCGTGGTTTCAGAGCAAAGACTTTGGATCAGAGGAAAGTCATTCTGAAAGAATTGGCCATTTGTTACAAGTGCTGTTCCTCCGTCAACCACATGGCAAAAGATTGCGACTCAAGTGTACATTGCAATGAGTGCAAAAGTGACCAACACGTCACCGCACTGCACCCTGGACCAGCACCCTGGAAAACGGAAACTCCAGGCTCTGAAGCTCCTAACGTGCATGGCGGGGAGCAAGCAGAAAGTCCTATGCGCGCCAATGTGTCCAAATGTACAGAGGTATGTGGAAAAGGTATCAGCTCACGCTCATGCTCCAAAATCTGTCTTGTAAACATTTATCCTGCTGGGCACAAGGAAAAGGCAGTGAAAGCCTATGTTGTGTTAGACGAGCAAAGCAATAGGTCTTTGGCAAAGACAGAATTCTTTGAGATCTTTAACGTTAACACAGGCACCAAAATTTACACTCTGAAGACCTGTTCAGGCGTAGGAGAGACAAGGGCACGCCAAGCTGACGGGTTCATACTGGAGTCTCTTGACGGCAACACTAGCGTCCGGCTGCCCACATTAATCGAGTGCAACATGCTCCCAGATGATCGATCTGAGATCCCGACACCGGAGGCTGCAAGACACCACACTCACCTCAAGCATTTGGCAGCCAAGATTCCTGATTTGGACCCTAATGCTTCAATACTGGTCCTCCTCGGTCGGGACATACCAAGAGTGCACAAGGTCAGAGAACATTACAACGGCCCCCACGATGCTCCGTACGCCCAGCGCCTCGACCTGGGCTGGGTCATAATAGGTGATGTGTGCCTTGGGGGTGCTCATGTGCCTAGCAAAGTTAGTGTTTACCGCACATCAGTGTTGAACAACGGACGTACATCTCTGTTGGACTCTTGCACCAATTCATTCCACGTTAAAGAAAAGGTTCTGAGCTCTGACGGCCCATTTAACGCTGGGAACATGTCCAGCTTGATGGACATAGACGGAAACGACTGTCTCACCAACAAATTGTTCATGAGAACCCCACATGATGACAAACCTGCCATGTCAGTGGAGGATGAACTCTTCTTGGAGATCATGGATGAACAAATGTTCATGGACGAGTCCAACAGCTGGGTGGCGCCACTGCCCTTCAAACCGAACAGGCACAGATTACCCAACAATCGAGACCAAGCAGTCCAACGTCTCAACTCACTGCGTCGAGTGCTTGACAAAAAGCCCCAAATGAAAGAACATTTCTTGAACTTTATGGAGAAAATGTTTGAGTCAGGACATGCAGAACCCGTCCTGCCATCCACCAAAGACCAAGAGTGTTGGTACCTACCGTTTTTTGGTGTATACCATCCACGCAAACCTGATCAGATACGGGTAGTGTTTGATTCTAATGCAACTTACAAAGACACGTCTTTGAACAATGTTTTGTTGAGTGGTCCAGACATGAACAACACACTTATTGGGGTTCTCTTGCGCTTCCGAAAAGAACCTGTGGCAATCACTGCAGACATACAGCAAATGTTCTACTGTTTTGTCATTCGCGAGGACCATCGCGACTTTGTGCGTTTCCTGTGGTACGAAGGCAACGATCCTACAGAGGCAATCAGAGAGTACAGGATGACTGTACACGTGTTTGGAAATAGCCCGTCTCCTGCCATAGCTATATATGGTCTCAGGAGGGCGGCGCTGGCCACACAAGATGAGTACAGTGACGAGGCCAAACAGTTTGTTCTTAAAAACTTTTACGTCGATGACGGACTGGCTTCTTTTCCTTCAGACATTAGCGCCATTCAAACTCTGAAAAGCGCCAAAGAAATGCTGGCGGACTCTAACATTCGTTTGCACAAAATAGCCTCCAATAGCACAGACGTAATGGAAGCATTTCCATCTGAGGAACGTGCAAAAGAATTGAAAAATCTTGACCTTGGCGCAGAGCCCCTGCCCTTGCAGAGAAGTTTAGGGCTTAACTGGGACTTGCAAAATGACTGTTTCACCTTCCTCGTATCAAGAGAAGACAAGCCATTCACAAGAAGAGGCATCCTTTCTGCTGTTAACAGCTTGTACGATCCTCTTGGGTTTGCTGCCCCCATCATCATGCAAGGCAAAGCTCTCATCAGAGAATTGTGCTCAGAGAACTGTGACTGGGACACTCAATTGCCAGCAGAAAAAGAGGCACAATGGAAATCTTGGAAAGATTCACTTGTAGACCTTGAGAAACTTCAAATTCCTAGACAGTATGTGAACACGTCACTGCAATCTACCTGTCAAAGAGAGTTGTGTGTCTTTGCAGATGCTTCTACATCAGCTATTTCAGCAGTTGCGTACCTTCGAGTCATAGACACCAAAGGTCACGTCCACGTAGGCTTCTGCATGGGCAAGTCCAAATTGGCTCCTAGACAAGTCCACACAGTACCTCGCTTGGAGTTATGCGCTTCAGTTCTGGCGGTGGAGCTGGCAAACATGTTGCTAAATGAACTTGACATTGAAATTCACAAAGTGAAATACTACACTGACAGCCGAGTAGTCTTAGGCTATATCAATAACAGCAGCCGAAGGTTCTATGTCTACGTAGCCAACCGTGTTGCTCGCATCAGAAAGTCATCCGAACCCAGTCAGTGGCACTTAGTGAGCACGGAAATCAATTCTGCCGATCATGGAACACGGCATGTGCCAGCTTCCTTGCTGAGTTCTACCAATTGGTTCACTGGTCCCGACTTCTTGAGGGAAAGTGATGGAGAGTGTCCTGTGCAATCGAACGACTTTCAACTTGTTGAACCTGCCACAGACATTGAAGTCCGCCCACAAGTCTCTACATTTGCAACTACAACCGTGGCAAATTCGCTCGGGTCACACAGGTTTGAGCGATTCTCCAGTTGGAAACGCCTCACTCAAGCTATCGCCAAGCTCATTGAAAAGGCCAGATCTATCTCAAAAGCTACTGATTCAAATGAAGCAAAGATGGACGCTCTAACTCAAGCAAAGTTAGTCATTGTACGAACTGTTCAAGGTGAGACCTTTGAAAAAGAATTGAGAACTCTGAACAAAGGTGAGGACATACTAAAACACAGTCCACTGAAGAATCTCAATGTGTTTTTGGACGAAGAAGGACTGGTGCGAGTAGGAGGACGTGTGACTTCTGCTGAAATAACTCAAGAACAAAGCCAGCCTATCGTGATTCCAAAGAAGCATCACATTGCTGCTTTGCTGGTTCAGTTCTACCACGAACAGATTGTGCACCAAGGCAGACACATCACTGAAGGAGCCATTAGGTCTGCTGGACTGTGGATCCTTGGAGGAAAAAGGTTGGTTACAAATCCTCTCAACAAATGCACAACCTGCCGCCGGTTAAGAGGAAATGTACAACAACAAAAAATGGCAGACATTCCAGCTGATCGTCTCTTCCAATCTCCTCCTTTCACGCATGTCGGAGTAGACGTGTTTGGACCGTGGAACATCTGCATCCGCCGTACAAGAGGTGGAGTGGTAGAAAACAAACGCTGGGCAGTAATGTTCACCTGTTTAGTCACACGAGGAGTTCACATCGAGGTAGTTGAGTCTCTCTCTACTTCAAGTTTCATAAATGCGCTCAGAAGGTTCCTGGCCATAAGAGGACCCACCAAACTTTTCCGTTCAGATTGTGGAACGAACTTCGTTGGAGCGTGTAGGGAGCTTCAGATAAGTTCAGAAGACCCAGAGCTTCAATCCTACCTCAAAAAGGAGGCATGCACTTGGAAGTTTAACCCACCTCACTCTTCTCACATGGGAGGGGTGTGGGAAAGAATGATCGGAGTGGCTCGACGTATCTTTGATGCTATGATGCTGAAGGTTCATTCTCCAAATCTGACTCATGAAGTACTTGTGACGCTCATGGCAGAGGTAACAGCCATAATGAATGGTCGTCCATTAGTACCTGTGTTATCTGATCCTCAACAACCTGATTTGTTGACTCCGAGGGCTCTTCTCACTCAGAAAATCTGTCCCGTTTCTATTCCTCCTGGAGACTTCGATCCAAAAGACTTGTACCGGAAGCAGTGGAAACAGGTGCAGAGTCTGGCTAACTCGTTCTGGAAACGATGGAGAGAAGAGTATCTTGCAACCCTTCAACCAAGAAGAAAATGGCAAGCAAATCAACCAAACTTAGCCATTGGTGACGTTGTCCTCCTAAAGGACTCTCAGGTCAAAAGAAACGAATGGCCTACTGGGCTTATTGTGGACACTTATCCTGGTCGAGATAAAAGAGTACGTAAAGTAGATGTACGCATAGTTAAAGAAGGTACTGCTAAGGTGTACTCAAGACCTGTTTCGGAAATTGTGTTATTAGTTAAGGGTTAATAGTGTTATAGTAGTATTCCAGGCGGGGAGTGTACTGCCCCCTTGTGAGAAGAGGTATTTAAGTTTTGAGTCTCTTGTGTTTTGTCCACGCAGAGTTTCCGTTGCTCAGTCGTTCTCATAACATTCTCACTGCAAGTCAAACTCCGGAGTGTTAAAGTTTATAAACTATCATTTTGGTCTCTGACGAATATCTGTCTGTAAGTATTTGTTTCATAGAGATCTTAGCTTCCTTTTGATATCCTATTTAGTCATTTTAGCATGTTTTCTATTCGTAATTTGTAAGGAAATATGTGACGCTAGTAGCGTTAGTTTCTCTATGGCATTTTCTATGTAAATTAGCATTGTGTTATTTGCTTGCTATGCGATCGTGATTTGAAGGTTTTAGTTATTTCTAGACTACTTATTTAGTTTTGCATTGTATATTCATCATATTGAGATTGTAATATGCTCTTCTTTGTTTTTGTATGTTACAGTTTTACAGTCCTTTCAGTAAAACACCACAAAACAGCAAGAAGCTTCTGGTTCTTTATTGGAAACTGTTAGCTATCTGTAAAGCTAGTTAATGCACACTAGTGAAGGCAGAATAGTAAGTGTTTGGAAGTGTTTTAAAAAAATGGGAGCGGGAGTGTTTGAAAGCACAAGCAGGCGTCTATTAGCGGACCGCTCTGCTGATAGACGCCTGCTTTCAAATGCTCCCGTCTGTATCTTTGTAAGCGCTCGGTGAAGAGCGTCATTGATGTATATTTACAACATGTTTTTGAAGCGCTGATTATTGTAGCCAATCACAGACATTTCCGATGAGCGCGTGAGCACAATAGGCAATCAGAGGTGTTTACGATTCCGCTCAACAGCGCTCAAAGCGTCACATTTTTTAAATTTCAGTACCAACTGGTACCGAAGTCGGTACTTTTTGACAACTCTACTCTAATGTATATATTACATTAGCTTGTCCCTCAATACATTGTCCACCCTGTTATTTTCGACTACTTTCCCTTTAAATGAAGGTTGGAAAAATTAAAGGACATCATATCATAAAGCTGTCATCACTTCTTTGGCAGGAAAACGTTTAAGTTACGACTGTAACCTCTGTTCACTGAAAAAAGGGAACAAGACACTGTGTCGATGACGCTATTGGGGAACGCCCTCCACGTGAACCGGTGTCTAAAAAGCTATTCAATCACGGCAATCGAATTTGACCGGCGACAGCCTATGACGTCACTACTAGTGTGACCCGGAAGTATAAAAGGGGCGCCTAGAGAACATGTCATCCTCTTTCGTCTGAAGGGACTGTTCATCAATTATCAACTTTACGTGAGTTGTACCTCGGCACAGCACGGATGAATCCAATGTTTTGAGGAGAATGTGCAGCTGTCAATCACCGTGCGGTGTGGATACTGTCATTAAGAATCACAGATTCTACTTTTTGGAAATATGACCAACATAAGAATTTTCACCCTAAAATGTCATCTGAACAAGTAAGTAACATCCACTTTTGTTCTTCTGACCAACTAACAAAAAAAAAGCATTGCAGTAAATTGCGCTGATTAAGTCTAACGATCGATTATCATATCATATCACGTCAAACCGTGCAAATTATACTTTGTTCTCAAGTTGTTAATGTTAACAACCTCAGCATTGCGTGACTACACTTCAGATATTTATCCTTGTTTTCGCATGCCCGGTTGCAGTCTCTTTTTCCAAACTCTCAGTCCAAAGTCTTTTGCATTTTACAACGGGTGAATCTCCAGTTGTCACTGGTGATTGTCGTTTGAACCTTTCTGGATCCGCCATCAAATTGATAAGTTTAATCATATCAAGTGCTGTGAGAAAAGGCTATAAATCTCCACCTTCAACATCTTAATATAGCCTACTAGCCTAGACGCCTTCTTTATGTGTGGAAATCCACCAGTACCACTGGAATTAAAAACATTATTACAAGCTTACCGTTTTGAATCGAGCTAAGGCAAGCAGCTAGTTTTGAACACTGGCTAGTTATGTACTTGCTCAAAAATGTATTTTGGATAATTTTTAACCCAAAAAAGTTACGGACTGGAGCTTTAAGTGACAAAAAGGCAAACTACAGCTAGAGGGTTTAGAACAACAACAAAAAAAGCTCACATGAGAAAAACATCCTACATTGACTGCAACATAGTCAGTTCCCTTTCGAGAATGGTCACTTCATATTGCGTAGCTAATACGCAGTGGGGAAACTCCTTTTCCTCGAAATATTGAAGCTTTAATTTAAAACGCAGTGCAGCTGCACAGTGAAACGCAGCAGAGCGTCTAGCTCGCTTATTGGCTGTGCTGCGGCAACTGCACATGGCCGAGCGCCTCTGAACGCGCGACCAATCAACTGACTTGGCGCCGAGTACATCAGAGCGTGCCTAAATGGGCGTGGCCTAAGCCTATAAATATCGCTCATTTCAGCTAAAATACCAGATTTACTCAACTTCAGCGACACTTCACGTCTCTGAGGCCTCACCGAAGCTTTTCGCCGTCGAACCAAGCCAGAATCAACTAGAGCATGCATTGAAAACAGCAGACAGTGCCTTCAACTTACCCAGCTCCTCTTCTGTCGCTGCTCTCCTGTGGCCATCCGGCGAGACAACGCTACATATATCCTTTTACTGCTGCTGTTGTGCTCGCTCTGTGACACTCAGCTTTTGTAAAAGAGAAAATTTCTAACGAGGCATTGTTTCAAATGCCTCGTTCATCTTGCACCTCGTGCGAAGCTCATGTACACGAGGATGACGGGCACACGGAGTGCGCCAGGTGCCTGGGACCCGCCCACGCTGAAGCTGCACTCTCTGCCGCCGGCTGTTCTCACTGCGAGAGCCTGCCCATCTCAACGCTGCGGATGCGGTTAGTTCCCTTTCGAGGGAACTCGCAATGCGTCATCGACGCTTTGGGAACGCCCCCAGCGTGAATGCGTCTGAGCATCAATGTCAACTAGTCCAATGGAAAGAATGAGCGTCACGGGCGGGTGACGTCATGACCAGGAAGGGATAAAGCACATCCGGTGCAAACCGGCATCAGCTTCTGTGTCTCAGCAAGCGATCTGTGTTACTCTGTCTATTTATTGTTGTCTGTTCGATATTATTGGGAAGAGTTATGGCGAAACAACTTTACAAACTCTGTGCTTCTCCCTGCCCGCGTTATTTAACGGGTGGGGACACACACGAGCTTTGTGTAGTTTATTTGGGAGTGGAGCATGCGGTGTCAGCCTTCGAGGGGGCTGATTGCGGCATTGCGAGATGCTTCCGCTCCGCATGCTCCGCTCTCGCCTGGCGCTTTTCGAGGAAAGTGGCCAGGCTCGCGATCCTCAGGGTGCAGAGAGAATGCCTTCCTGTGGATCGCGAATAGGATCTTTACGGGGTTGGAGACGGGTCCGCGGATCTTATCTCCTCCCTTTCCACGAGGGATCCAGTGCTCTCTCGCCGGTCTCGGAAGCCCGCGCTGCGGTCTCTTCCGCCCGGGGAGAGAAATCAATGCGAGGAGGTAGATGTGCTGGGCATTGAAAGTGACACAATCATGGGGGAAGTGGATTTGCCATCTCTTCCCCAGCGTATGAGAAATATATATAGCCTATATATATATATATATATATATACATATGATAGGTTATATATTATATATAAAATAAAGTGAATATATATAAAGAATGTATATATAAAAAATAGGGCCGGGACTCGATTAAAAAAATTAATCGAATTAATTAGAGGCTTTGTAATTAATTAATCGAAATTAATCGCATTTTAATCGCATAAATATTTGACCTGAGAACTGTGAGAAGTAATTTTTTTCACATGGATTTTTAGTATACCATTGAATAATGACTGCATACATAAGCTTAAGCAACAAAATATTGTTTATTTTTGTTCAACCAAGTCCAGCAGACCAGTGCAATTTTTGCCATTAAGTGTAGCAATAGCATATTGCAACAAAATAGCATATTGCTACACTACACTAATAGCAATAGCGAATTCCTTGTTGCATAGCTTGCACACAACCATGCTCTTATCGACGCGTCCATCCGTTCGTTTTTTGCAGTTTTTTGTAACAACATTTCCCAGCCACCGGCCAACCAAAGCGATCTCGTCAGCTTCTTCGTCATGAACGCTAGTTGGTGCGCCAGTATAATCGGTCCGCCGAAACTCATCCAGTGAGAAACGTTCCGCGGTGCAAAAATAAGTGCGATTAAAAATATTTTTTTGTGTAATTAATTAACGCGTTAAAGTATGTAATTAATTAATCTTAATTAACGCGTTAAAGTCCCGGCCCTAATAAAAAATAATAATAAGCTGGTGGAGGTGTTTACTAAGGCTGTAGATAAATTAAATATTTAATGGCCAGCAGAAATAAGGGGGCACTCGTCCTTAAAATAAATTGAACGATTTTACTTCCCTCTATTTTTCCACCTCCATCACAGGGCCTTACATTTTTCCCGATCTGCACAGCGAGCTGTCTAGATCATGGAAAAAGCCTTACTCATCTTTTAGCCCCACATTCATGTATATTCAGATATTTGGGGGTTAAGAGAGTATGGCTATGGGGCAATACCCTGGGTAGAACAGACACTTGCGAGCTATCTGTCTCCCGGTTCAGTATCGTCCCTGAAGGCATCGGCTTCTCTCACTAAACCATTAAAGAAAACAATTTTTTAATCTAGTGGGAAAAGCATATATGGCAGTGGGTCTAGCATGAGCCTGCTTGCACACTATTGCAGTGCTGCAAGCATATCAGGCTGACCTGCTGTGGTATTTGGACAGAAGTGAGGGAGTTTGGCCCGATGGGGTTTGAGAACTCCGTCGGGCCTCAGATTTATCTCTCAGGGATGGCAGCCCTTGTGGTCACTGAGAGACACCTCTGGCTCAATTTGATGGGAATCATGGAGAAAGATACAAGATAATCTCTCCCTCGCTATGTCCAACCCCCTGGGGCTGCTGGGCGTGAGCAGCTCCAGCCGGCTAGTTTCTCATACACAACACAGCAGCCAAAGCCTTCAAAGCAGAAGCCGGATCCGAGGACCGTTCTTCATGCTGAGAAGGCTGCGGCTCAAAAGAAAAGGTCTGGCGCCACCGGCGTCAGACCGGTGAGGGCAGCCCCAACCGGGGTGGAATGGTGTACACCTCATTATACGGTGCCCTTTCCATCTCGGTGCCCTCAGGGGACCGTTCTGCCAACCCCGCCACCCTTGGTGCTTCGGGGCGCAGCGTTCTCCAGCGAGCTTCTGGCGCAGCGTCAACTTGACATTGCGTCGGACTCGCGCCCTCTGAGGGGGGTTCGAAAACAGTCAGTTCGGGTGGTTCCTGCCAGTATGCTTCAGGTCCCCGAACTGGCTGTCTTTATTACACCAGAGGCCAGCCTTGAGGGGCTGGTTCCCTTGGTAGATTTTCTGGCAGCGCGGAAGCTACTGCCAAATATATCTCTATGGTTAATGGTAATCTCTCTGGTAATGGAGCAAGAGGTAAAGGCCCTGTTAGCAAAGAAAGCTATAGAGCAGGTGTACTCACCCGACATTGCGTCGGGTCTTTACAGTCGTTATCTCATTGTTCCAAAAAAGGATGGAGAGCTGCGTCACATTCTAGA